CGGGCTGCACCGCCCCATCCCAGCCGCTGGAAACTTGCGGGTCCCTAATCCCCGCCGCCGTGCCTGGCCCAGCACCGGGAGCCCGGCTGCGTTGCCGTGGCCGGGGCGCTGAACCCGCGCTGGACGCGCCTCGGCCGAGGACACCTCACAGCTGAGGGCACGGAATTCAGCACACCTGAGGGGAATTAAACTGCCACAAAGCATCTGCAGCTGGGCCGGGGCTCAGCTGGGCCGGAACTGCCCCCGCCTGCCTGCCAGTTTCAAATAAGGATGGCGAACACGGCTCCGAGCAGCATGTGCCACTCGCTGCTGCCGAGGCAGGTGTGCTCCTCACCTTTGGAAATAACCCACGTGTATCAATAAACGAGTGCAGGTGCTGGTCTCCAGGCAAAGCGGGGGCAGGTGCGTCAGCTAAACATGCAAAGGAGCTCAGCTGTGTGTGCAAAATGATTCCTACCAAGGTAGAATGGGTTTGGGTGGCTAAACCCACAACAGCAACCCAAGGTTTTCCAGGTGCCTCATCATGCATCAGCACATCTTGTGCACAGTGACTTAGGATTTAAACGACCTGCCCCCACACTCCTGGAAAATTATAGAATACAAGAAATATAAATAAAATATAAATTAAAATCTCATTTAGTTTCGTTGGTGTTCAGTAGGTGTTTCCTCCACTGAATCCGATGCTTTGACCAATCTAAATCAAATACTGGCACAGCTGGTATGACTTCTAACACTTTGCTGTCGCCAGGCTTGAATTTCTATGGGATGTGAAACAGTTTTGGCCATGTTGAATAGTTTGTGAATTTTAAAGGAGGTTTCTGGATATTTTCACAGCAGTATATAAAAGCACTACATTTTATAGCATTAACCTGCTGAAAAATGCCTATAAATGAGCTCCAGTTCAGGCCTGTAACCAATCTTGTGAACTGCACACAGAGCATTATGAGTCTAGATAGCAAGTTTTAACCACAAAAGCCCCTTTATTAAAATACCACAGGCACAGAACCACTAGGGTATTCCTGCTTTGTCCAGCTGCATAAGGGCTCAATATCACCTGGAATTCCCAGTGCATTTTCTAAATCCAAGCCAGCACCAAAGCCTGGTTTTGATTTTGAAATGAGAAGTACCCTCATAGTCAACCCAGCATAGGGAGATTCACACAAGCTCTGGTCTGTACTGGCTATGATAGGGACCAGTCCAGCTGGAAACCATGCAAAGGGAGCTCCCTGCTATTTTCAATTACCAGAGCTACATCTACAGCAAGCAGTGGCACATTCAGCACACACTGCCATCCACTGCTGGGCATGGGAGTCCTTTGGCTAGCAAGTGACGTTTTGGGATTTATGTCTGATTAGGAAACTGGAAACTGCAGACCTGCTTATACTCTTCAGAGGAAGAAAGAAACAGATTGCTAATATGAGAAACATTATAAAGAAAACCCTTAAACATGTAGTATTTTTCATTATCAGAAGAACTTTCTTCTTACAACATGGGATACCAGATAAGAACTTCTATGTGATCATTCCCGTACCTGCTTTTAATTATTATAAGTTTCCTTTTAGTCTCATAGCACATTACTCACTGGTAAATGACTTGGCAATTCAGCCTTATAATATTACCATTAAATTCAGCAGACTTTCTACTGTAGAGAGCAATAACTCAGAGTAGACTCTGATTTATTCTGGAGCTTGCTCATTTCTGCAATGCTGAGTGGACCAAGCAGTATTTTCAAGCCTGTCAGCTGCCAGGCTCTCAATGCCCAAGGTGAGCAGTTTCTGAAACACACACAGTAATAGCACACTCGTGTTCTGCCCCAATTTTACAAAGTACTTTTTCAAACTCAACTTGCCTCACTTGGCAAGAGTACAAGCACACTTGTCCTCGTAAGAAGAGAGTCAGTTATTACCAAATAATGGCTTGGGTTGGGAGGGACCTTACACATCAGCCAGTTCCAACCCTCTGCCATGGGCAGGGACACCTTCCACTAGATCAGGTTGCTCAGAGCCCTGTCTAACCTGGCCTTGAACACTTCCAAGAATGGGACATCCTCAGCTCTTTTGAGCAACCTGTTCAAGGGGCCCTCACTGTCCAGAATTTCTTCTCATTGTCTAATCTAACTCTACTCTCAGTTTAAAGCCGCTGTGATGCATTTCTCAAAGATTATCTCCTCCTTTAGGATTTTTGAAATGGCAGAAATTTCAAGTTGTCTCAAACTGCCATTAAACAAATTAGTTTGTTTTCTTGATGTGTTAAAAAAAAGTAGGCATCATTCCTGATAAGAACTCTCACTGCAAGAAATGTAAATATTCAGATACTTTCTGAATTTAATGCTGCAACACCAAAGCAGCCACAGGGACACACTGTTTTTTTTCCCCTAAAAAGAAAGCCCATTTGTGTATTTCAAACAATGGAAAAGCTTTGTCAATGAAATGTGCCTTTGGAAGAAACACGCTACCCAGGCCACCAGGAATTAACCCTATCTTTTGAGTGCAATTCCCTTTCTAAAGCACACTTGTTTTGGGGTTTATTGTTTTTTATTTCAGCCATCTACTTGAAAATGAAACAAATGTACCATTAATGCCCTAGGAAGTTAATATGTATAACAAAGATTGCACTTGTCTTACATAGCCATTCAGAAAGGGCAGTAGAACTTAATACAAAAAGTATCACCTCATTAAGTACAGCAAGATATAACTAGATCATTACAAATAGGAACACCAACATTTTCTACATAAACCCCAGACACATGGAAAACAGTTCCAGGAAGTGATCTGCTAAGTTCATGATTCACTGGCAGTAGTCAGCATGGGTTCAGCAAGGGGAAGTCAGAGTTGAGCAACCCTCTGCAGTGACATGACTGCCAGGAGCTGGAGGGAGAGCAGCAGGCACTGCCTGCCCAGAGCTCTGACACTCTCCCAGAAGATCCTGGTTAATGATGCTGGGCAGAGCATGCCCTCAGCAAGGCTGCAGGTGACACAAACTGGGAGTGGCTGATACACCTGCAGGTCCTGCTGCCATCCATAGGGACCTCTGCAGGCTGGAGAAACGGGCTGTGGAGGAAGAGTCCTGCACACTGACACATCCTGGAGCCATGCAGCTGGAAAAGCCCCTTTGCAGAGAAGGCCCTGGGCTCCTGGAGTTGAACAGGAGCCAGCAGTGTGCCCAGACCAGGCTGATGGCATGGGCTGCACAGCAGGGTGACAGAGGTGATCCTTGCCTTTACTCACACAGGAGCAGTGCCCAGTGTGAGGCACACAGACACAGCCGGGAGTCCAGCCACAGAGGGATACAGGGATTGCAGCACCTCTCTCACAAGGAAAGGATGAGGCAGCAGGGATTGTTTAGGCAGAAGGAAGCTCAAGGAGACTCTTACCAACACATACCATCATCTGAAGTGGGGGTGCCAAGACGGAGCCAGGCTCTTGTCAGGGATGCCCAGTGACAGGACAAGGGGGAGTGGCACACACTGGAACAGGTGAGCTTCCATCTGAGCAGAGCACACTCTTACTGTGAGGCTGGCTGAGAACTGCAGCAGGTGGCCCAGGGACACTGAGAGTCCTTCCTTGGAGATCCAAAGCCATCTGGACATCATTCTGGCCAGCAAGGCCTAGATGGGATGGCTGGAGCAGGGAGCATGGACAACATGACTTGCTGAGTCAACCTCAACCCGCCTCTGATTCTGTGAATAAACAAACACATGGAAGTTTTGAGAAAATGGCAAAGTTTATTTTTTTCTTTAATTGAAAAAGGTCATGAACTGCATAGAAGTATAACTTCAGTCATCTCAAAATGTCACTCAGCATTCATTCACACTTGGAAAGTCCCAGTAATATGAGAGGAAGCAAAACAGACTAAGTTGCCTACAATGCACGTATTTACATTCAATTGGAATTAATTTGCACAATAATATTTTTAAATAAATCAAATGCACTTATCCAAATAAAGTCTGATTCAAGGTATATTTTAAGTATATATAAAATACAAATAAAGTCTTCAAAACTTAAATTCTTTGGATAAAACAAATTTTCGATTATTTAAAGATAAGTTAGCTCTAAAGTAATAAGAAATGTAAACATCAGATACTGTGATCAAAATCTTAAGGAATAACAGCTTTGTCATAAAGTGCTGGTATATGCTATCAGCTTTATTTTCCAAATGCTAAAAAATAGTTGTAATTTCAATTCAGGAATATTTTGGCAGAATTTTAAATTACAGGTATATGCTATCAGCTTTATTTTCCAAATGCTAAAAAATAGTTGTAATTTCAATTCAGGAATATTTTGGCAGAATTTTAGATTACAATTTAAAAACCACTCTTTTTTACCTTTATTTACACTGCTTTTTGGTATTTTCTTCTTTATCTTAAGTGAACTTTAACTTCTACATATATATGGAATAATTTGTGTTTTTAACTTACCCAGTTCAAACTGGAGTCCACAATGGTAGAAAATGAATCCAAAGGTCAGGTAAGACTCCAACTGGGAAAAGCCAAGGACTTTGAAAAGTAAGGGTGTAAAGTACCTGAGCACAATCCAACAGCTGCCTCCTGCAAAGTAATTCTGTAATTATATATGCAATCAGTACCACTGAGAAAAGCTCCATGAGAATTAATACACAGAGGAGACTTGGTGTGGCTCACTCACACCCAACTATTAGAGCTTTGTCCTGCTGAACAAACCTGTTACTTTATTTCATATGAAATTAGGTCTTGGAGAATTTCTTCTTCTGACAAACACAAGCTGAAAAGCTTTACGTGTCTTACACCTCAGTTTGCTTTCCACTTGTCAACGTGAGCATCCTCCCAAACCAAGACAACAGTCCTGAATCCCCCCATGAATTTTGGTGACCTTACACTGAAATCTGTTTGGAAAAAACCTGCTCTTTCCTTGTGTGAAGGAAGATGAAACACAACCTTTTACCTCTCATCAGGTTCACCTCTCAGTCATATTTCAAAATGCCAATCTGCCCAACTACTGACAAATCCACAGGCACACTTGAAAAAGATTATCAGATTGTGGTATTTTATTACAGAAAACAAATCCAATTCAAAGACAATTAAATTTAAGCTTTGAGGAGTGGAAAATCTTGAAATATTTTAAAGTGGCATTTACTTTCAAAATATCGCTAAGAGTTTTAATAAATTCACTGCCCAAAAAGGCTCACAGCCTCTGTTATGATTAAGGGGCTTATTTTATGAGTATTACTTTCAGGTTGTTAAGGCACAACTGGCATTTGCTTTAAGACAAAACTTGACACAGGCATTATTACCTCAGAGCCAGAAACAAGTGAAAGTGGAAGGCACAGAACTTTAAAAAATACCACTAACCAAACCAATTTTAAAGGCTTAAAACAATTGTTAGGCAGTTTTTCTTGAAATACTAACACACTGCAGTCCATTTCTCAGAGCAGGCATGAAGCTGAGTAATTATGGACAACTAATTGACAGCAAGATACACTTTTACATTAGAGGGCACAGAGAAAAACTGTTAATTGCTGTTTCACTGGCAAAAATGGTTATTTTCAGTTTACTCTTTTAACTAGAGGCTTTGTGTTTTGGGGCTTGTTTGGGGGGATTGTTTTGGGTTTGTTTTTTTTTAAGATAAGGAAAAATCAGTACAGGTAGATTATACTATTTCAGAGGTTTGATCAAAGCAAACCACCCAGTTCAAATATTCACATCAGTATAGGAACCTCATCTTCAAATGTAATTTATGGTAAGAACCAAGGACCATAAGCACAAGGACTGACAATCTACCTGTTTTCTATGCCAAGTGTTGCAGAGTTCCAACGCAGCATAACCACACAGAATATGCATTATAATGCCCAAGTGGACAGATCCATAAGGCAGAACTACTAGTGATCCTAGAGGTAAAACAGGTTTCCAAATGGCCTCAACAGATGTACCGTAGTCCCAAAACATACCAAATTTAGCCTCTATTCAAAGTGGTGAGAATGGTAGCAAGCAACTCCAGTAAACCAGCAAGGTTCAGCTTCCCTGCTTCCCTTCCCAATCTCTTACTAAGAGTCGTCCTAAAAGCATGCATGTGTTCAAACCACTGTTTGGCAAAGGCTATGCTTCAATTCATTTGCAGGTTTCAGTTTGTTCACTCTAGCATCATCCTTTGACTAGAACTTGAAAAGTGCAAAAATATTTAATTATATCTTCTTAAAAAAAATAATTCATTTTATTGGCGCAACAACTCCAATTCCTCAGGAGTTAAATCCACTGCCAGCAATGGATACAAAAGGAGGCACCAGCATAAAAGAATCAAAGTGCATTTCCAGTATGCCAATGCTGCACGAATTGGCAAGCCAGAACCTTTTTTTCACCACTGGAACAGATTACTCTGAACTCATTCCATGAAAAGTCTGCGTTCTACATTAGCACACAAAGTCTGTCACCAAGTCTTGGGGATACTGCAATGAGTCGTCGAAGCGGAAGCGTTTGGAGAGCGTGCTGCTGTCCTCTGGGATGTTCTCCTTGTCCTCCTTGTCACTGCAGCTCCCACTGCAGCTGGATTTTACACTCCACTCTTCTGAGCACTTGGCTATGTGTCCTGGCAGCTGAGAGGAGCAGCAAACCTCTTCAGGGCTGCACAGGAGCGTGAGCTCCTCTTGCTGCAGCCACGAATGGGACAGACAGTCCGCTGCAGTGGGCCTGTCCCTTCGCAGGGAGAAAGGGAAAGGTGCTTGAGTTAGTTTCATCAAAACTAAAAAACTAAAATAGCTCTGATGCTAAAAATCCTAAGCAAAATTGACACTGAAGACTCAATATTGGTGTGTTTGCACCCCTACCTCAGCTGCTACAAAACACAGTTAAGTATTGGCTACGTGCATCTAAATTTAGTTGCTGGTTTATCCTAAAGCTGGTAAGCTTTCATCAGAACAAGGAACATAGTCCCTGGGAATGTTTTCAACATGGCACACATAAATGGGCACTTGCTTTTACTTTTAAAGTAATATGCTTTATACAGACCATAAACAGTGAGGCTCACTGAAAATATAAAGAAACTCAAACAAAAAAAAACCCTCAAAGAACAACCCTATTAATAATAACATTATCTTGAAAATAATAAAAGCAATATGTGACAATTTTATCCAGACATTGAATCCAAGATTCTTCTCATGCATTATAGAAAAGCATAAAACCACACTTTGAAATATCCAGTTGAAAATACCAATATATTGTGAAATATCCAACTGCTCTTATCAGTGACATTAAGCACATAAATTAACATTCACTTTTTCTAGGTGCTCCACAAATTTAGGATTCTTGCCTGAAGGAGTTTGCTACTTACTCTGGATTTTTTATGAGAAGTTTTTGAATGAAGTCTTTTGCAGGCTGTGAAACTGATGAAAATGTTTCTTCTGAATAATCCACATTAACTTGAGATATATTAAGGTAAGTTTCTTGAACATCAGCTCCCACAAATGGAGATTCTTGTGTCAGCAGCATGTATGAGATGACACCGATGTTCCTGAGGTAAGAACACAATGTATAAACCTACTAGAGAATCTAAACAATATACCCTGCATATTTCCTGTGCTGCAAATCCTGACATATCCCACTCTCAGAATTACAGCCAACATGTTACACCTCAATTTTATGTAATTCAAACATGACTGCACATAGACACACAAGGAAAGATATGTTATGTATATATCTCAATGAAGGGATTTCTGAAAACTGTTTTCATTTCAATAGACCCTTTTCTTCCTACTGAGATTGTTAGGAAAAGGAAATACCACTTTTACCCAGCCCACTCTTGGGACATATGGCAATTCTGGATGATAGAGCTGCAAAAAAGACAGACTTTCTAATCTGCATATATCTTGCACTGCAATTCTGGATAACAGAGCAAAGACTTAATCAACTTCTCTGTACATTTGACATCTGAGTTGTGTTACAATCTCTTCTAGCTGAGATGTTCCTCTCAAGAACGTGAACATGAGTGCCACAGATCATGCAATCTATCATAAATCTTAAGATGGTTTCTTGATGCATAATAGAAACATTTTTGTGATCTGATAGATCAGAATTTAGTACTCATTACAGTGTGGAATCACACAGCTGCTGGGCTTGTCGTTGTGAGCACAGCATCAATAGAGGTTTTCTTAGGCCTTCCCACAAAAGCAGGCAAATAATATGTGATTAAAAGGCATTCATGAAAAGATTTATAAGGAGCAACTAGCAACTTTTAACAGTGAATATTAATTAAGATGCTGAAGATTTTTTGTTTAAAGGAAACATTTCAAAGCTAGTCTTTAACATAACACATAAAACTAAAACACCACAAAAAGTTGTGCGTCATTTCAAGGTACTTGTCATTTTTTATGATTCACACCTGCAGATATTTCTCTAAAAATAAGAAGTAGGAAGTTGACATCCTTCTTATAATTTGTATCAAAGATTCTTTAACGATGTAAAAGTGGGAAGGGAAGTGTCCTAGTGTAGCTAATACCCGAAGCATGTCACCCAGGAGTAAGTAATACCTCAAGTATGTTATCCAGCCACTGTTATTATTCCCTCAGAACAAACACCTATCCTCCACAGGATCAGAAGCCACCTGCATTTCCCACTAAGTGTGCAACAGATCCATAAACTCCTGTAAGTTCTGAGGGCTTCATCCCCTCCCATCCTCCCCTCCCTCTTTCAGCCAGCCCACCAACAGAAGGGGATTCTTGGAAGCCAGATGAAACTGCATCAGGCCCTTAGGTTCTTAAGGGGTCCCACCAAGCCCCAGTAAAATGAAGATCAAACCTACCACATGTCTGTAGCTGTGGTAATAGGATCATAGTTCAAGATTTCTGGAGCTAAAGAGACGGGGAGAAGAAAAATGCTTTAATAAATATCTTATTCAAATGGCCTTGAATCATACATTACATTTCTGGCATTCTTTTGCCAACCATTATTGTAAGACTCAACATGTAGTTTCAATAATTAGATTTATTATTTCTAAGCCACAAGGTGGCAAAAAGTTATTTCCATTTGCCTAGAAACGGATGTTTACTTAAGTTCACACCAAAGTGGCACTAGATGGCCTGAAGTTTATCCAAGTTTCAAGATGTGTTCTAATCAGATACATGCACATACATTTTTCTCCTAAAAGGTTTTGAATTATAGAGCTTTTTAATAGGAATGTATAGAGCCTTCAGCATGTTAAAGCAAGATGACCAAGCCAATTTTAGGATCAGTGGCTGTTAGCATAGGCTAGGTGGCAAGTTATTCACTGCAGAATGAAGTGCTCTTAACACTGAGTGTTGGCAAATCACAAAGGAAACTTGTCCCTCAGAGAGGGCCAAGTATTAACAGCAATCTTTTCCTTTCCAACAAATATTTTAATCTAATTAAATCCTCATACTGAATAACATTAAAGATGTTACATTGATTCAAAGAACATTTCTTTGTGCATGCCAATGTTTCTGTTCAGAACAATTTAACAGCCCATAACACAGCAAATACTACAATGTAAAATTGAGAGCTGCACTGATTGATATAATTTGGGATTTTTTGGGGCAAATATTTGTTGACTACTCTTAAAGAGCAGCTCAAACATGTTGCCTTGTCCTGTGATGTTCTTTATCAGCTTGTAAGTTGCTCAGTGTGCTCCATGAACTGCTCCTGTTCTCTGGAAGGCCCACATAAGAGGTTGTGAAGCAGCCCTTCCATACCGAGATACTCTGTGGTTCCCATGATCTGCCGCAGTTCATTGGAATTCTCAAGCTTCCGGGACATCCCAAAATCCACAATTTTTACATCGCCAAGAGGATTGATGCTGCTCAGCAAAATATTTTGAGGCTAGAGTAGAAAAAAATTGCATTCCTAATTAATAAAATACAATCAGAAAAAAATGCCCTATGTATCAAATGACACTTCAGCTTCTATTATTATAGAAATACTTATTGCTAAACACTAAATATATTTAATTTCTATACTTTTAATCTCATTTTAATATCATTTAATCTCCTTCTCATATTTTTAATGTATTTAACAAATTACTTTGATGAACAGAATAAATTGAAGATGAAGTGCTAAAACAAAGCCTGCTGCAGCCTCACCTTTAAATCCAGATGAACAATATTGTTTTCATGCAAGCAGCAAAGTCCTTCAAGTATTTGCCTTATAAGCCTTACAATATCCCTTTCACAAATTCTGTCATCCAGATCTGGGACACACAAGTCAAATATTTCTCCTCCAGCAGCACTGAAACACATTGAAGAATGTCTATGTATTAAGTTTAAATTTTGAAACTTTAGCAAGGAAAAATGTTTTTAATAGCACATATTTATCTAACATATATCTGTAATATCAGAGAGGCTGGGAATATTTTTCTTTTTACAGATTTACACTGAAACACTTAATACAAACACTTAGAAAAGGGGAAAAAAAATGTGATCATGCTTTTTCTTTTCTTATAGCCTGAAACAGCAGCTGAGACAGCAAAAAGCACTTTGACTGGTAACCTCATAATGCTCTGTTCCCCTCAAGCAAGCAGGAAGATGCCTTCCAGAAGCTGAGTTCTATCATCAGTCCCTAATCAAAGACGCCTTTCTTTTCAAGTCAAATCTAAAATGTCTTCCATGAGACCAGTTCATAAATAATTCAGAGCAGTGTAAAGCAGCATGGAAATATCTGTGCTCCTGTGGTTTATGAGTTATTCCTACACTTGGCTGCAGTGTCAGCTGTCTCCTTTCAGGCTGGGTTTGAGATCCATTACTCAGCCTGCTCCGAGTGCCTCAAGTCTCTCTCTCAAGGATGAAGGGCTTCCTCAGCACTACAGATCACTGAGCCTAAACCTCATTGCTAAGTTTACTGAAGTCTCTAAAGTGAGAGTCTAGAAAAAGTCAGGTATTGGACAAAATGAAAGACCACAGCCACAAACCTGCTGAGGTTATGTGAGGTGTCAGTCACGCCTCCCCCCCAGGTGACCTTATGGCAACATGGACATGAGGGGAAGGGCAGAGGATGCCACGGATTTCAGCTCTCACAAGGTTTTCAGCACTGGCTCCCACAGTGCTGCTGCACTCAAGTTATATTATGGTCTGGATGGGTGGGAACTCACAAGGGTAAAGAGCTGAAAGCTCTGCAGGAAAGGATTTGCAAAAAAAGCCTTAGAATAAATTATATGTTAGGGGTGATCTAGTTCCAGGAGAAAAAAAAAAGCTTTCAAAGATAGAATCTAGCCAAATTCCTTCAAATTTTCCAAAGAATATACCATGGTGTACAGAGACCACCATTAACAGCACCTCAAATACTTTGTACGTGAAACTTAAAGCTTAGAAAGAATTCATTTCACAGGCTGTATTTTTGTTCCTTACATTCCACACAAAAATTTACACATAAAACAAATATGATAGATAATGCAAATTCAAATCCCAAATTAAACTTATTTTTCAGAGCTATTAAGAAGCTTTGGGGACATCTGTAAAAAAATGGGATTTTTTTAGGAAACTATTCAAAAGTCAATTTTAAAACAACAAAATCACTGAATTTAGGAGCTCAAAAAAACCAAAGTAACTGTAAGTCTCCAGTCACCAAAAAAATGTCAAGTGCTAACTTGAAGTTCACAGGCATGGATGTGCTCAACCTCTTTGAAATCTGTGTACTTGGAATCAGTGACTTTTCTTTTTTTTTTTTTTTTTTGTGATTTAAGTTGCATCAAAGCACTCAGGACCTTCTCCAGTATTCCAAGAACATTCTTTCCAGTCAGCTTGCCTGAAACATCCTTAAAGGAAAAAATATAAAGGATATTACAATGAAAGATTAGCATAATGTATATAGGGTACTGCTGCAATTCTGGGCATTCAGGCAACTCATACAAAAAATTAATATATTGAAAGATGTTTTCCTACAACCATGGAACATGTGATGAAGGCATACTTACTATTCCAACACTAAGATGATTTCATTTGCTGTTTCATAGACTTCATGCAGATTAACTATGCGAGGATTGGATTTCATTAATTCAAGGACAGCAATTTCATGCACAATCTCTGCTTTGCAGTCTTGACCTCTTCTCCTTTTCTTTAAAAATTTAGCTGCATACTCTTGGCCTGTGGATTTAGCTACACATTTTCTAACCACAGCACATCTTCCTCTACAAAACAAAAGAGAAAATACTGAGATGCAGGAAATCAAAAGTGCATAAATTAACATTAGAAATAAGACAGAGCAAATAATTGCAAACAAACAAAATAATGTATTGGAAATGCCATGCTTGGCCTGCTCTTATACTGTTTTCTGAACATTCACTTGCAGGCACTGTAGAAGGATACTAAGCTAGATGAAGCTCTGGTGAGACCCAGGAAAATTCCCTTTATACAGCCTAGCTAAACATTAAATCAGAGTATCAGGTTACAGGGACATTCTAATGGCCAGGTCACAGAATAATTTGGCTGGAAAGGACTTCTGGAGGTCCCTAAAAACCTCCTGCTTAAAGCAAGGCTGGCCATGAGGTCTTACCAGACTGCCCAGAGCTCTGTTCAGGTTGGCAAGATATTAAAAAACCCTCAACCTCATTAAAACACCTACAGGACAGTAACAAACAAAGCAAACCCCTATGAAATGCAGAGAATGAACAGGAAAAATAAAGCACATTTAAATGCATGGGTGGGGCAGGAGGTTTTCAGTGAAAAAAATTTAGTAATAAAGGGAATTTCCTTCCACAAATCATGTAGTACTGATACAAAAATCCCAGGTATCTGCAAAATGTTTCAAAACATCTTAATAGAAAAGCACCCACCACTTAGCATTCTCTTCCTCAATTACAGTTAGACAAGTGTGTCACTTTATTTCCTGGTCAACTGTTTACGTATGGAAACAAAAACATATTTTGGCAAAGAAATGTTTTTAGAAGAAAACTACATACTGTAGTTAAAACACCATGCTGATCTTTGAAAAAATTAGAAGGAAAAAATTACAGTTTTTTAAGCCAAGTTATAAACTCCTGAAAAAAAAATTTATAGTTACTAATATTGCATTCCCAGAAATGCCTGGTTGCATACATACAAAGTGTTTTCAAATTGTAAAGAGAAACCTTATATACCAAAACCATATTTATTTAAAGAAACCTTATTTACAAAAAAAAACAACTTGAAAGGCTGCAATAAACTGCGAGTGAAGTTCTAAAAACAGCATCAAGCTATGTACAAAGTGCACAACCTACATTTATCTCTTCAAAATGAGCCTGTCCACCTGTATTTTTTGTTACCACAGCATACTAAGGACAATCATAATGGAACAGCTCAGAATGAGCTATCTGAGCTGTGTTCCTTAAACTAAATTAGCTTCTTCAGTAGAAAATACCACATCGCCTCACAGGCTTTGCCTTTTTTCTGGTGCAAAAATCCCAGTGCTTAAAAGGAACATTTCTTAAAACAAAAAAGTACTTAAAAAAAGAAATCTAGACTTCAGTATTTAATCAAAACAGGGATGAGCATCACATGCAAAAAAATCAATTTTCATTTGCAAATAACTGCACAAACATGCCTAAATTATTAAATATTTAAAGATGACTTTGAATCATACTGCTACAACTTAAAAATAAATTCAACAAAACAGGCCTTCTGTCATCATTTATTTCAACATCAATTAGTTGTAGATTTTCTCCACCCTTTTTTGAAAGCACTAAACTTTAGAGATAGAAGTTACTGAGGCTGATACAGGCCCACTCTTCACCTTCATAACTATTTGTAAGCCTGAAACAGCCACGTGCTTTCCCAATTGTTAACCCAGCTTATTACTGCAGAGCATTTGAAGTTACTGAGCTCAACTTCACGATATACACAAGTTGGAAACACTCCCCCCTCCAGCTCACATTCTCTTTTTAGCATCACATCAACCCTGCCAGCCACCAAAGTGCCTCTGAAATTAACAAAGGGGAACCAGTTCAGTTTCATGAGAACAGCACGATCTTCCCCAGTAGTTTTGGCACATCTTCCTTCTGGTTCCTGTGGGCTTAACAACTCTGAGGGGTCTGTGATACCTCCACATTTGAGATGTAAGAATTTCCACTTGTTTATTAGTAGAGTGCCAATTAAGGCAAAAAATTAAGACAAAAAATAAGATGAAAAAAGTCTTTTAGAGCTGTGGAAATTGCTCCAGAAACACAAAAAAAGTCAGCTCGGAAGTGCTGCACTGACGCAAGCGAAGCAGTTCCCACTCCTGGCCTGCACAACCATCCCCCCTCAGAGCCCAGCTCTACAAGAAAATCTGATTTCAGGATGTTTTCATATCTCAGCTCAGAAACCACAGAAATTTAACTGCTTCAAAAGAAGCCAAGCCATGCACACACCAGGGACAGAACTACTTAACCCACTAAACAGAACCTAACCTGCCAGCTTCGTGAGTCAGTGTCTTAAATACCAAAGGACCCAACAGATAAGGGTGTGGGAGGAAGAAATGGGGTTGGGAAGCTTAAGCAGAGAACAAGAGAACTATTTACTACATAATCTCAACAGGAAAAAGAAAACTGCAAGTGAAAATTAAAGCATATTAATCCTTTAGAGAGGTTACAAAGAAAAGATGGATTTTACATCACTTAAAAAGCATTTATACACTTAAAAACATCAAAAAATACACATGTAGTTAGGCCAGGAGAAATCACAAATATGTTTGTAAAACAGAGTCCTGCTTCAGTTTTCTTTGCATTTTGGCACTTACTTTGTTAGGCCTGGTTTTGCATGCATAGAAAAAATTAAAAGCTCTGTTCTGGAATTCACACAAAATCTACACTTTTGTTTGCTTTAGATATCATCTCACAAGTATGCAGAGTCTGAAAATCCAGCGTTGGAACAATACCTGAGTTCTAGAGGGTGCTGCATATAAACTGCTTCTGTAGAGCTTAGAATTCAAAAGCAGAGCTGACAAAAGTTAAGAAAAGAAGAAAGTTATGGGCTGCAATGTGCACTTCTATAAAAGCGTACCAGATAAAAAGCACGTGCTAGAAAAATAGAAAAAAACCCAAGAGAACAATGAAGGCTGAGGAGCTCACACACCACATGCAGAAGAGCATCTCTGCTGACAAAAGGAGCTGCAGGTGCAAAGGATCCTTATGCAGCACAGCAAGGCACAGCTGTGGGACTGACCTGGCACACTTCTGTTCAGGGAGCTTGGAAACATGATCACAGCATCCCGTTTGCATGGCTTTACACCCAATTCACTGAGTATTCTCAAGGTGTGAACTAACCCAGTGATTTCAAAACACACATTCACTTGTATGTCTGAAACAGTGTCATAAACACCGAGGGTTTGGGTGCTTTGTTTTATTTCCTATTTTACTGTTGCAAACAAGAGCAAGGGAAGCAGGCTGCAAAAGTGCTCTGAAACAGCAGCTTGTTTGAAGCTCAGTCTAACTGCTTGAGGCTGGGAAGGGGAGAGAAAAGGTCTTTGTTTTCTGGGTTTCAGAAAACTCACCCAAACACTTGGAACAACCAACTCAAAATCCTCATTTTTTTCTTACAGTATCACTCTATGTCATCTCTTGTTTAGGCCATGCCCCTGGAATCTATGTGGCAGGGAAAGGAAGATAATCCCAAATCTACATGCCTATGAAAACCCTCCAGATCTCTCTGACATGGAATAGGCTGGCAGCTTATGCCTCACTGTCCCTTTTCCTGGTCCCTAAAGAACCCACTGTGATGCAAAGAAGGGGACAGGGAAGGAGAAAGGCATACTTCATTCTCCATCTACTACCATAAAGGTTTGTTTCATTGTACAGAGAATTTTCTTGCAGCAAAAATTCCTCTTGCTCAAATAAAATAAATAGGAATAATCTTACCTTCCTAGCTCTTTCGATTCAAGCACATAAAAATTGTAGAAGTTTTCTGTCTTGATTGGTGTGTGCAGAGATGTGGCCAACAAGCCAGAAAGGCTTTTATTCTCCAGCTTTCTCCTCGACATCGTCAGGAGCAGCAGGTCTCTCTCTTACACCAGCCACCTGCTGAAGCAAAACAATTAAGAGTCTTGGAAATTACATAGCTACAGCACAGGAAAGTATACAAATATTGTGAGTTTAGGGCTATAAAACTAGAATGGCCAGAACTTGGTTCAGTAGCAGCCTGAAAACAACACATTTAATCACTGTAAAAAGAAAACCTGAAAGGAATACTAATCAAGACATGCTAATTTAATAATGTAAACACTCGAGATAAGTTAGGGTTTTTTTCTCCCTGGAGCATATCCATAAGATACTAGGGATAAGCTTTAGTTCTAATAAAAATGCTAATAGCTACTTAACTATTCATGAGATGTACCTTTTCTTAATCTTTCTGAAACTCTTCTCTGGATTCTGGGTAAGTTCCACACTTCCTTTAAGTTTACACTTTTAACAGATATTTTTTCCTGGGGGAATTTACCAAAACTCCTTCCTGTTTGTTAACTGCAACGCAGCAGGAATAGGTAACAACAGGACAAAGTGGGGTTCTTTTCCCAGTGGGAATATTCACATTTGTTATTAGGCTCACTCATAGTTCCTCCGAGTTTCCTTTTTAAGGCCGAGTTAATTGTCAGAGAGAAGCATGAATGGACAAGGTCTTCTTTGCAAGTTCAGATCATTTAGAATCAAATGATGTAGTAATCCTGATTAAATTACCTTAATAAACCAGTAGAACAGCACATTATGAAGATACACCCACCCACATAATTTCTACTACAGTGAAAAATAAAACCCAACAAAACCAAACCCAATAAAAATACTGGGGTTTGGTATTCACGTTTATAGGCCTGAAGCATTTCTTCAGGTGAAATGCAAAAGCAAGGCAGAAAAGGGTTACGGAAGGATACCAGAAGTGGTAACTGATGGCTTCTTTAAATTAAAGAGCAGGTTTACCTTTATTAGTGAAAAAAAAATAGGCAAATTACAATTCAGAGACAGTTAGCAAGCTCACAAAAATACACTTGCAGTTTAAATGAGAGAAATGCACTGTCAGACACTTCTGGGGGAGCACTCGAACTAGTTATGATCCAAATGCAACCCATTACCCATCCAGCATTGTTCACATTCCCATGTGGGATGGAACATGGTTATTCACATTAGAAGTATTTTGGATTCAAATCATTGTACATAATTTAGCAGGAAAAAGACACAAACTACATAGTTTAAAAATATCTTCAAAGTATCATCTGATATGCAGGAAATAGCTTCTTTAAGAAATTATGAAAAGGTCACAATACAATCTAATGCACAAGTCTTTGACTCACTCTGTAACAAGCAAGCATTCCTTCTCCCCCATTATATGACAGTTTACCATTTAAGAGGATGATTTTGATGTCTGAAATTTTACATGACTCTCCTTAGGGCTGTGCTCCCTCGATAACTTTAACTCCTAAACTGTATCTTCTTCCTGCTGTCCTTCAGCAGAAAACCATTTGTGCTCGATAACTGGCCTCACTGACTGACAGCTTACCATTATCAAATTTATTACCATTATCGAGCTTATTACGTAAGCTTTCATTGTACATGATCATTCGTACAGAGCAATTATTAAGGAGAACTTCTGCCTCACGTTGCCTTGACGTTGTTTCTCCGGTAAGACATCACATCTCCTTTTTTCAGGTCGGTGTCATCAAGAATAGAGAAGAACATATACCCATAGCAGGCAGAAACCCACAAAGAAGCACGTAATCTGCTCAAAAGAATGAGATTCAACCAACCATGGGGAAGAAAAGGCTTCCCAATAAACTAGGGAAGTTTACCGAGACAAAAAAAGTCAGCTCTTTTAACCTTTTCTAAAGACGTCGAGTCCCCGGTCTGGGCCGGGAAGACGTTTGGCAGCGAAGGACCACGGAGGGCGGCAGCGGCCGGGCGGGACCCGGGCCTGTCCCCGCGGGGCAGCCCCGACTCCCCTCACAGCGCTGCCCCGGCGCGACCCGGCACCGGGCGGGGAGGCAGCTCGGCGCTTCCACCGCGCCCAGACAGCAGCACAGCACAGCACAGCGGCCCCTCGGTCGGGCACATTCCCCGCTCCTCCGCGTCCGAGTACGCTCCCGCTCTCCCCGGCCGGGCACACTCACCGCTGGCCGCCGCCCGCCGTCCCTCACGACTCCGCTCCCGCTCTCTCGCCGTCTCTCGCCGTTTGAAAGGCGCAAGCCGAGGGGAGCGGCTGTCCCAGCGGCGCGAGTGCCAGGCCCCGCCCCCTCAGCAGAACAGCCAATCCGCGCCCAGCCGCGGTGCCCAGAGTCCCGGCGATTGGCGGGAGCGCCCTCCGTGCGGGCAGCGCCCTCTACCGGCTGCCCGGCCCCCAGCGGCAGGTGCCGCCCGGCCGTGAGGCAGCTGGGGACGCCGGGGCTCGGGGTGCGCGGAGCCGCCGCTTCGGGCCCCAACGCACCGATGGCGCGTCCCGGTCCCGCTGCTGCGGCAGCCAAACCCCGCAGCGAACGCTCCTGGGTGCATCCGCTGCATCCCCGAGCGCTCGAGCAGCGGAGCACGGCCGAGGCAGCGGGGCAGGTGCGCTGGCGGTGCCGGTGCAGGACGCCGTGCCGTGCATCCCCCGCGGTGGGGAGCCGGGGACGGGAGCCGCGCCCGCAGCGGTTCCGCTCCGTCCCGGTGCGGGACGTGGCGGGAAAAGCCGCGGGCGCGGGGACAGAGGCGCCGTGCGGGCCCCGCCGCCGCTGTGCGAGTGACGCGGCCGCGGAGGCTCCGAGAGCACAGCACCGGGCCGGTGCAGTTAAAAACCCAGCCATAAAGCAGTTCTCACCCGCAGCTGCCCGGAACCGAGCGCTTTCAGCCCGCCTGTGTAAGCACGTTTGACAATCTCTTCGTCATGCATGCAAGGGGAAACAGGGTCTTCAGAGCCGTGAGAAACCCACAGGAAAAAAATAAAAAAAGTTAAAAGACTCCAACCTGTGGTTTCAAAGACTCTTTCCAAGGACTCAAAATAGCCTAAAGCATGGTTCAGAAATAAGCTGAAGTTAGAAAGAGTTCTAAAATAGTTGCAATTTGTTTGTCAAATTGATTTCCTCTGAAGCAATCCAACGAGCTAGAAATTTGCAAACATCCGTTTTATAATACGTTTGTCATGAAGTCAGCAATAGTAATGTAGCACAAGAGTTTAAGAACTGTGTATTTCATTTCAGCAGCACACCATTAGAGTTACTGGGTTAATTCTGTTTGTGCCATGGCACTGCCAGTGAAATGGGTAATTGCTGTGTTTATTACAGTGCCTAAGTCATGCAGTCACAGCAAGGCTTGCATTAAGATGAAAGTAACATAAATGAAGATAAATAAAGCAGAAAATACTCTTGAAGAGTCTAGAATATGTCACACCATGTAGATGGCACACTGAGTTACCTACTGAAAACATGTAACTCCTGCTTGCTTGCACTTCCATGTGGCTTTTTAGCACTTTGAGCTGTGAATATTTTTGACAAAAGCAGTCCAAAATCTTTACTCTCTCTCACAAAGTTCCACCATCTCTGCAGTGATCCAGATCATACTCTTTCTTGATTCTAACATGATTTCAAATATATCTGTCAAATAAAAATACAACATGTGGACAGGATTGGTTTTGTTGAGAAGTGCTCTTTGTGCAATATGAAAAGCAGGCAGCATTCCAAACATACCAAATGAGCCGCAGAGTAAATTTAAATGATGCCCACAATTAAGATGTTTTAGGTTATTATAGCACGTGGTGCCAAGAAGTAAATGACAGTGCTTATGTTTGTCTCCGTAGCTGCTTTTTTGTCTTTAGTGATGCTCTTCAGGATTTGCTCTACTCTCCCTTTAAGTTTTGAAAACCAAGTAAATACCAAAAATGCTTCGTGACATGCATGTTGTTGTACTCTTGGTTATCTGTTTCTATAATGCCATGGAAACATGAATGGCACTTGGAGAAGGGTATAATTGACAGGACTCCACCCTGAGGACTTTGGAATTTTACTTAGATACACCACAACTGAGAAGGACAAACAAAGGTGGAGGAGGGGGAACGGGTAGGCTGAAGGTCACAACAGTACAGGATCACGAACTATTATTATTCCTAATGTATACACCTGGTGTGTGTGATAATTAAAAAATAGCAATTAAAGGTGTTAGCTGCATAACTCCCATTCTTAGTTACTTCTTCTCTGGCTTACCTTGATTATCGATCCATTACTAAGCTGGCTCTTTTCAGCCTGAGAGGCTTTCACAGAAAGAATGATTTCCACTTGGCCAGCAGCCATTTAGCACAGCTGCATGCACAGCCCCCGGTGACCAGGGGACAGGTGTTCTAGGCAGCCAGCCGTGTGGAAAAAGCTCTGCTCCCTCCAGGAATGCTGGTTTCAGCTCAGGTCTGTCACGGGCTGGTGTGATGTTTGAAGAGATGGCAGCCTACCCTTCTCAGCAGGGAACTGTACAGTGGGGACAAGCACACGACATTAAGAGCTGCACAGCTGGAAGCTCAGAGTGTCTGAGCCTTCTCCAACTGGTTTTTATTTAATACAGGTAGTTTTAAAAAAAAATCTGATTCCCCCCACGTTAAAATCTCTGCACCACCTTCTCACACAAGGCAATCCTCAGTGCAGTGGGAAATCCCTGGATTCCACACAGGCACTGCTTCCCACAGCTGCCTCAGTGACACCCAGCACAAGCTCCAGGCCAGCTCCAGTGTTTACACCGAGGGAAAGTGAGTGACTGTGCACTACGTGGCATCAGTTATCAGTGACCCGGACGAAAATATCTCATGAGTCTGACATCAAGAATGACAGAGAACAGATTCTGAAAGGGCTCCAGTCCCAAAGCCTCACCTCTTCCCACAGCAGCTCTCGTTCAGTGACTCAGGTTAGCTTGCACCGCATCTCGAGTACCAGCAAGAGAATGCAAAATCACCTTCTAGAAGAAGTTTTTTTAAAAATGGAAATATCACTTCACTATCGGATTCTCCAAACAGTTTGTGTAGCACACAAGGGAAGTGACAAGCTGCCATTAAACCATTCTCCTCGGGCTGTGTCATGGTGGGGAGAACACTTGCCTAAGAGCTGACTGAAGACCACTTTCTCTCACTCTAACCACTACCATCTCTAAGAAAAGGAAATATTTGGTGGGGGCCACTGACTTTTATTAAAAACAACAGAATGCATTTCCCCCTGAAGGTATTTCCGTGTGAAAAAGAGAGCTTTCCTGTGTTACAGCCACTGCTGGGAAGTATTTTGCTGCCAGCTCTGATGCTCTGTTCAAAAGCAGAGGCTCTTCCACGAGGCCTGGGCCTCTCCCATGTGTTTGCTGTGATATCTGGTGCTTTATTTGTCATAAGGGTTTTTGGGGTTTTTTTTCATATGTAGCTCTTATTCAAATTATGTTGCATATGACTGCAGAATCCTTAATTTCCCCACTTCCAAAATCATGATTTGTAATATGCCAGACTCCACAGGCCACCAGAAACCACTCAGCAAAGGAGATGTCAGAAAGACTATCTTGTGGTTTCCCTAAAGGTTTTTAAATGCTGCAAAAGACAGAATACTCTAAAGGTACTCACTTCAAAAAGGATGTTACAGCATATTCAGAGGCACAATAAAAGAGATGATTTACAAAGCAGATTTTGTAAGAAGATTTATTTTAATTAAGTGATTTCATGATGAAACATGGTCTTAAACAAAATAGAGATCAGTATGAAAATAAAATTATACACAGAAAATTCTTTTCCCCAAATGTTTTTGAGTAACAGGGAATACAACACAACAGTCCTGTATTCAAATTATGTAAATCTGTGAGCAGTCAAACATTATAGTACATTCCTTGAAGCCAGGCACAATGACACACATTGTGTGCCCCTGTAACACACTCAACACATTTTCTATCTCCTCTCTCTGCCTCGAAGAAAAAAAATCCTGAAATGTAATGTAATGTAATGTAAATAGGGAAAAGGAGGGAAACCTTAATGCTTGAAGCAGGTATTCCCCATTTAGTGTTTTGTGAAAGTCATGTACCAAATTCAGATGAAACTTAAATTGGCTTGTAGAAAGATAGAAAAACTTGGAATTGTATTTGATATACAGTCTTGTGAACACTTAACTGAAAAGTATGGAAAGGATTAAAAAATACACCGTGTTCTACTTAAAGCTTAGAAATAAATATGCACCCCATATTCTCAGTGCCTGAAATTCTTTAAAAACAAAGAACTTGGTATAAAATTATATCAAGTAATTGTCAAAAATGAGGAAGATGCACCGATAATCCTGTTAGATTCTGGATGCCTGCATCCCCACTACAAAAACTTGTAAAACTCTACACACGTTCAAACATGCTGAATAACCCAAACTGTAATCTAGCAAGGGCAGGAACATCAACTGACTTGGGGGTAGCAGTATTCCACACCACATCCCTCATTACCTTCTTTTCCTCTAAAGATCTCCCTTTCCATACTGTACCAGCCCTTACAAGTACAAATGTTCAGTCAATTATTCAAAAAGCAGCCTTGCTGATTTCATGGATGCCCTCAAGGCTACGTCATTCCCAGGAAAAACAGCGCACAAAGAAAAAGCATCCTCCAAATGTGATTTATGTAGTTAATATTATCATAATTCTCCTCCTCCCTGCAATGCTGATAATAAACAGCAGTCTCCTGAGTGCTGCAGACTCATTGCAGAAAAATGTCCTGCTGTATGGAACTATTGAACCAGTATGGTTCAACATGGGAGTTGTCTTCTCATTTAGGACTTCAGGTTTATATAAAACTCCTACTGTCTCAGTAACCATGTTGCAGAAGAAAACTCACAAGGAATTCTTCCTTTGACTCTCATATTGAATCATTCAATAGTCTTGTCTTTCAGGTAAAAAAAAACAGGTCAACTTTTAGGTACAGAAACCCATCATGAAACCCTCCCACCCTCTTACACAGTATTTTTTTTAATAATGTCATTAGAGTGTGAATGGAATCAAGACTTGCATCTGCTTAGCTAAAGCTACCTAGGTAATTGAGAACATTCTAATTACCCTAATTAAGCTTTGGAAATGCCACATCAATCCTTGTCTTTGTGGAAATGCATGGTTCTTACACAACCATAATGCAAATATCAAGTATTAAAAAAAAAAAAAAAAAAAAAAAAAAACCCCAAAACCAAAATCTGCATTTTGACACATCTAACATTAGGGATTTGGCCCATCACATTGAAAAGGAAAGTCACCATTGGTTGTGATGATTTAACCTTTTATCAGAAGTGATATCCCTTGCCAAATGCAGACAATAATAAACAGTCATTACTTGTACAAACAAAAGACCACTTCCAGACACCACTCTTATTTTATTTAGAAGCCTTCGTTTTCCTGAAAATAGAAATAAACAAACAACCCGGTCCCAATAAAACAAAACAAAAAATCCAAACAACATAGAAGTAAATTTTCTGATTGTGTACTTAGATTTTCAAAAGCTAATAATCAGTTAAAGCATGTCCTGCAGTTGCAGCAACACCAACGTATTTCAGGATGAGCAGTCATTTTTTCCTAGGTGCATTATCATAGCCTAATTTTCAAGCAGGAAGTGTCCTGTTTTATACCCCAGGGCTCATCACAGCTCACTGTCCTGCTCCCTACCCTGGAAGTGCAGTTCTTTTCCTGTGCCTACTCTCAGGCTTGTGTTCACTCCAGCACTCCTCCACGGCTGTATCTTGTGTGCCGTGTGGAACTGCCCTGTCTTATCATTACAGCACTACAATTGCATTCCTTCTTAGAATTATTTATGAGGCTTCCGAGATTTATTTTCTTATTCATACACTAATCTACTTTAAAATTAGTGAGCTCCAATGTCTGACTGCAGTCAGCATGGCAATCAATTATGATGTCTCAGCAAAATCCTCTTTTATTGACCTTATACTGCTGGATGGGCATTCCTAACTGAAAAATGTAATCCTCGTTTAAAATGAAAGATGTTGAATAGTCAGTGGAGTGTGTCACGAGCTGCTTATATTGCAAGTAGCAGGCATCACAGATAGAACGAGCTTTTGGGAAGAATCCAGCTCAAGGGCTGCATGAGAAAGCCTCCAGCTGTGGAAGGCACAGTGCTCACGACGGGAACAGATCTCCTGCTGCTGTGATTTTCTGGATCAGCATCACCTGCCTCACTGCAAAGGCTCTGCACCCATGTGGCCAACAGCCTGGGGCAGCCCATGGAGCCCACAAATTCTGGCAATATAAAGCATTGAGCATTGCAAGCAAAATCCCCTGCCTCACTAATTTTGCAAAACCAAAACCAAAAGACATTTTACCCTTGGATATCTAATCAACTATTTTCAAAACTACTTTTATGACTATTTTCATTGAACAGCTCAGACTTGATGTCAGAGTAACAGTCATCCTGTCAACTCTGGACTGAGGGAGCTGCTTTTGAACACAAACCCCAACCCAGAGTCTTACTGTGATACTACAGCTACAGTCAGTGTAGGTGGTCAGCAATTGTCTCTGGGTGACTGTAGGATTACGTGCAATGAAAAGGGATAGGATGGATGGCTTTGGAAGGCAGCCCAGAATAAGGGAGACCAGAGTCCTGTGGAGTTTTGTAGGTCTATACCTTTAAAAGCTAATTGATGTCAGCACAAAGGGATGTTAAATTAGTTGAACAATATACCTCCTGAGTGCTTAACAAAAGCCTCAAAGTAGGCAAGGCTTTTTCTAACACGGGCTGAATGAGAAGCTTCTCAAAGTTCTGAAAACAAGAAACAAATGCAACCCAAAAGATAAAGTTTCATAATTCAGAAGATTTTTTAACGGGTGAAAGGATTGAGAGCAGCATAGCTTTGCTCCCTTTCACATTCACAGTTTTGAGAAATTTGTAACGCTACATCTTAGTTAAAATTTTAGTATAATTACTCTGCAATGTAATCTGAAAGGACACAAGTTCAAATTTTGAAATATTGACTTGGAAAGGGGCTAATCAATGAGTGTAGCAACTATTTCACATAGTCCTCAGGAGGTATTTTAAAATGCATTTTGAATACATACAGACACTTCAATGGATTGTAACCATTCCAGGAGTCCTTGACTGGCATCCTTTTACCAAAAATCAGGAGGAACCTTTCTAAACAGTGGCCAGAAGATCAGTCATACAAAACAGAATTATCAAATAATCATGATTTTACCTTAAAATACCTACAGCATAATATGGCTCTGAACAAAGCCTATGAAGTAAAGTCCTAAAGGAAAATATTTAGTAAAAATATTACAAATGTTTAAGTAAAAAACATTTCATAGCAATGAACATCCCAAATAGTAGTAGCCTAATGCCAAAATTAGTCAGTCTAAAGCTGAACAGAAGCACTACGAAGTTCATGGTCTATTTGGAAGACATGCAAAAATATAAACCATCTTTCATTGTGAAAATTCTGTGTTTGGAGGGTCAGCATTGTAATTCTGCATACTGCTAATTGCCTTTACAGTAAAGTTATTCTTTTCCTCTACTATTTGCCTAACATATATTTAGTTCTCCAGCAAACAAGTTATTTCAAATTCAACCTCCAAAAATTTTTTATTATAAATATTTAGGCAAAAGGTTAAACTAGTCCAGTCAACCCATAGCATTTCTGCAGTTCTGTTTTATAGCACATAATTGAGCCAAAACACAGTTTAAGAAGCCAGCTTTGAGTAATTCTTCTCAAATTTTGCTTGGAGTTCAATTGCTTGCCCAGAGAAAAAAGGGTGAGAAGGGGAAACAACAGTAGATGAAAGCTACATCTGCAATCTTATGACTGGAGATCAACCTTCAGCTCAATTCCCATTAATGCTAACAGGAATATATTAACCCTCCACATAAAAAAAGTGGCAGGAAAAGCAACACTATTAGTATAACTTAATGCAGATAAGTTTCATTCACTGAAAAGAAGTAACTTGCTTTATGCTATGGGAAATGAACTTACACTGGCCATTCAAACACAGCTGCTGAAGTTTCCCTGATGTGAACAAGGATTCCCTCAGTGCAGAGGCAGTGTGCTTCCGTCAGCTCCATAAAAACTCTGCAGCTATCACTGCAGAAACTCAGTAAACATCTGCAATTAATACTGCTGAGATTACATTTAACAACCAGATGATACCATTGCAAATGCTTCAGAAGGAATTTTTTTAAAAAACTTTTTTTAAAGGATTAAAAATACATAAGAAACCACAAACCTCTTCTCTTTCCTATAATTTTAAACGGAGCAAACTACCAGTCCGGTGCTCTGCCAGTCCAGCTCCTGCCAGAAGCTCTGTGTGATGTCCTGCCAGGGCACTGCTGCTAAGATTTTCAGTTTCCCCGAAGATTACAGCTATTCTCTGCCCCCTGTGACTCAGGGCTGACTGCTGCCATGTGGAGCTCATGTGGCGCCCGTGAGCAGGCTTGCCTGGGAACACAGAATAGCTCACCCCATATACTCTCTAAGCCATATTAGCATTTTTTTAATGGTAAGGTCAGTACAGGATAATGAAAATTATGTTTAAAAGCAAAGGGAGGCAAATATTTGATGAATATCAAGAAAAAACAGCAGGCAGGGAGTGGGTGGGGAAAAAGGTCTGGATCGAAAGGCTTTCCTGCCCTGCCCTGCCAGGTGCTGCAGGTGGTGTGACGGAGGTGGCAGATGGCTGTGCCCTGCTGCTGTGGGCAAAAGCACCACTCCCCTCACTGCTGCTGGCCCACAGACTCTCAATGGGCGACTGCTTGCTACGGCAGGTGCCACACTGCACAACCTCATTGATTCCAAGTTTTTGTGGTGTATTTAGGAGTGTTCTGGCTATAACCTCACTGCCAGCAGTGCCAGGTGAGCAAAGCACACCTCTGCTGGGCTGGGATACTGGGACCTGGGGAGAGGGGGCCTGTCCTGGCATGTGGGGGACAGAGGCCACTCTGCTGCCAGCCTGCCCAGGCTGCAGTGACCTGGGAGCTGCTTGTTGCCTGGTGATGTGTGGCTCCACTTCCCAGCAGAACAGGAAACTTGGGCACCCCACTTCAATTCCTGCAGGGACCTCCCCTGCCAGCCTCTGTGTGATGGAGATGCTGCGGGTTAAGTTAGTAGGAGTTGTCATTGGCTGAAGGGATTATTCTGTCGACTTTTTCCTTCCTAAATGCAAAGCTCCTTAGCACCATCTGGAAAAGCTCCAAGGAGATACAGAGCTTTGGAAAGGCTCCCCAGCCTTGCTCTGTGTGGACCCTCATCCCTGCTACACTGTGTCGTAAGCAACTGCATTGTGGTCACCTGCTGCAGCCAATGAAAGCTGGCTTTCCCTGGGGACACACTTAATGGGAATGGCTTCCAAAACCAAAGGGAGAACATTCCAAGCAGTTGCCAGGAGATGTGGGTATCTGACTAAGCTTAGGCTTCCTCTCCTCTACTCCCTCCTTGCTAATCCCTTAGAGCAGCAGCATCACTTACACCGTCACAAAGAGCCAAGTGCTGGAGGCAGCACAGGGAGCTGTACCCAGCTGACACCTCAACCTTCACACAGTGCTCTTCTAGAGTCCCCAGGGCATGCTGGCAGCACAAGAGGAAGCAGCAACTTCTCCTTAGTCTCTCTTGGCTTTAGTGCTACAAAGATTCTGGATTTTTTTTTTTTTAAATCTATTTTCTAACTGACAGCTGTCCCACTCGTGACCCACTCGCCACATTTTTACAGAATATTGGATTATCATGGCTGATTTCAATTATTTTTACATGCATAAATACAGAACAAATGGGTGCAGTAGATATATTTAAATAAAAATTGACAAGATGCATTTATTGTTTTAGTTTTGTACAAAAGCATAACTTAAAAGGCAAACTAGTATAAACTTACTTTGTGCCAAATATTTAAACTTTTCATTCCAAAGAGTATCTGGTTCAAAACTTGTAGATACAGTTTCCACTTGGGAAATCTCTTTTTTAAGACCACAGATAACACAGTATTGTAAAATGAAAATTCTGCAGTCCTTCAACCAATCATAAGTTGCATTCTGCTCTGAGTGCCAGAATTTTAGCTACTCAGTGAATGGATCCCATGAAACATGAGCCATGCTGGAGTGACCTGCTGAAAAGTCAGTTTGCCTACTGCTCATTCATGTTCTGAAAAGAGATGTGCATTAGGACCCGTGACATGCAATCTTAGCAAAGACTGATAAATATATGTGTAGAAACAGGGTGATGTGTTTGGATTTTTCTCTGCTACTTCATACCAGCCAGAAGTAGCCTAAGAAAACCTACGTTACTTAAGAGAGTCCCAGATGTCATGCAGAAGCTCAATTATCCTTGAAATAAAAGAATGCTTTCCCCCTGATTTTGCTTTTCCTTTGCACACGTGACATTTCCTCAGTAAGTCTGAAGGGTTTTCTCAGTCACCACCACAGCTGCAGCTGCCTTCTGCCTCGGAGGGTGACTGGCAGTCTCTGCTGACGACATCTCCAGGGACGCTGGAACAAACCTCCCACCAAAACAAGCAGGACACCTCCCTCAGACGCCCCTTCAAGAGCCTCCAAAGTGAGAAGGTTACTCCAAAAGCTACTTTTCCCACAGAACAGGGCTTGCTGTGCTGCAGGACTACCAAAAAGGCTAGCACAGAGCTGGATTCGTGTTCTTGCCATCCAGTATCCAAGTGCAATTCCTGCCATTTAAAAATGTGGTGGATGCAGCGCGTGACAGCAGCTGTGCGAGAAATGGGACACAGCTGCACAAGTGTTCCACAAGACCATCTGGAGGAAAAGTACCAAAAATAGAAGCGAGCAAGCCTCGTGTATTTCAGCAAAATTAAGCATAAAGAAACTGGTGTCCATGCAGTGTTTGATATGCCATAGAAACTGCTTCAAAGAGCACTGGATAAGAAAACTATCAGTGAAAATGCAAGCTTGGACACTACGAACAGTTTACATCTTGTAGGTGTTCACTGATACAGGACAGTGGAATTATGACCAGTGGCTCACCTTAAAGTTATTCATGGTTTTCCAAATGAGCTAGTGTCTTACAGTGCTGTACAAATAAAAAGTTGTGGGGAGTATATGAAATATCTGTATTAAATTCCACTGCATTAAGTTATCCAATGCATGAAAAATGACCCAGATGCATTTAAAATAAATGCATATTACAATATCACATATAGTATTATAAAATTATTACTTATGTGCACAGTCCTGATATCTATAGACATGGCACTGTGAAGAAAGCCTGGTTCCTAAGCATTTTTATAGATATTTGATAGTGATGCAATTTGCTATCAGTCAGATCATAATGTCCCTTCAACTTTGGTACATTCAGTGCAAAATATTTTTGGGAGTTTTTTTACTCTTATAAAAATAAAAGGCATTTTTTTCCCTGGAGAGTGCTTAAAGAATAAACACTAGCAGAATGTCTGTTCAAGCATGGAAAGTGACAAAACAGAAATAACACTTTTGTTTGCTTGTTTCCTGTTTACACTCTAAGAAACATAATATAATGAACCTATAAAAATAACAGAAGTCACTGTGTTAGGGTTTTTTCCTGATATGCTGTGATAAATTGCTAGTTTCTTCTTAAAATAGTTTCCATGCAGTATAAAGCATAAAATCAGTCTTATTAAGTTAATAAGTTCATTGTAACAGCTCATATTTTGTCATACACACCACTGGCAAATGCATTTCCACAAACCTCCTCAATGCACAAGCCGTTGTTACATCCTTTGTTGCTGACTTTCCTTCCAACTCACTTCTGCCCCAGGAACTCGAGCTCTATGGTGTTTCCCAGGCAGGCACTCATAGTCTTAGGTAAAGCAAGTGTTGGATATGCTGTTATAACATATGGCATAAAGTAATGTACCTTCATGAATTAAAAAAAAAAAAAAAAAAGAATTTATAAAAGTTCGGCTGTATGCTTTTTTGATAATTTACTGGGTAGGTAAGGGACTGAACGATTTCACATTTTGACTTGAATTTTCTATTGAACAACTTTGATGAAATCCAGTCCTTGGGTACATGTCAGTTTTGCAGTAGCCAGATGGATCACAACATGGCATCACGTTTCTGGTTTGCTCAGAACATAAACTTAAGAAGTGTAGCCATCCCAAAAACCCATGGATTGCAAGACTTGGCTTTCCCTGCACACCAGGCACACTCTAGTTTCACTGTCGAGAATTCTGCCACTACCACAATGCTTTTTAATTGCTTCACAAGCTCCTTCGTGGAACCTCATTATTTGAATTGCACCATGAAACAATTTTCCTCTAGGAAATCCAATACAAAAGTTCATTCATTCCTTGAGAAGACAGATCCACAAAAGTCCAATGAGCTGGGCACTGTGGTTTGTGTATCACTCAAGTCCGAAAGTACTTGTTTCTTCCACTGCTGTCAACAGTTTTTCATATAACATAGAGAATGATGGGTAAGGGGGAAGGTCCAGACGATTGAAACAAGTGTGAGCCCTGAGGGGAAAAAGAAAGAGGAGGTGAAGAAGTGTATTATTTGAAAAGTTCAAAAGAGAACACACAGATTGGTATGTGCTTGAATAGAGATGGGCAGATAGTATTCTTTAGAAGACTTTGTTCTGTCAAATGATGTTTTCCAATTGAACAGGTAGTGAGGTTTAATCTGCTTCCTTCTCATTAAAATAAGCCAGTAAGAAGCATTTATGAAGCTCTTTAGAAACATACTGACAGTCCAAAAGGCATGGGATAAATTTTATCCATCAAATGTGCATGAGAAAAAAGAAGAATGATTTGGCATGGTACAAGTCAAACAGTCTGGTCTGAAATCCTGGCTTTAAATGTATCTTCTGAGACGTAGCCTTTCTTTTCTGTATGGATGATACTTGAATACTGTATTTGTAATGATAAAAAGATATTTCCACACATCTCCAGGTCTATAGGAAACACTCCTACAGTGGCAAAAGACAGATGAATTAGATGCTCTTCCTTCTACAATTTCCTCATATGGCATATGGATGGTGTTGTTGAGGCATACTGCTTGTGCTGATTTCCCAAAGGACATAGCTGCCCTAGAGGCCAGCAGCTTTTGGAATTACACAAAACCATGCATGAACCTCTAGCAACCTCCCTGCTTTCTTAAGAGGGCGACCATGCGATTTATTTCTCAGTTTTTGAAGTCCATCTACCTCAAGTTTGTTGACACACTTGGAACTGTCTCTCAAATCCTCTTGCAGGGAATGAAAAGGGAGATAACAAAGGTTTCTCTTCATAGTGGAACCATGGATATCATTACCTGACCTCAGGGCATGCTAAGGATGGTACTTTCTAAAACACTGAGGTGGATGAGCCTGCTCTAATGAAATAGACAACATAACTATTAATGTGATGGGATCTTGAGGATGAAGTGATGCGGAGAGAAACTGGAAGAGGCATCTCTTCTGCTCTAAAGCTTTGTAACAAAGCCTCACTTTAGATTGATTTTAGAATTTTGGCAGGTCTCTGTTTACAAATACTTCAATCTTTTGCAATAAAATACATCATAGAGTTATTTATTTAAATTCAATCCAGCTGAAAACCAAACTCCTCCTGCAATGCCCTGCCCTTCATCAGTATGATGTGTTATGCATAAATATGTAACATGTTAATGGAAGGACTGAACAAGCTCCCTCCTCACAGCAAATGCAACTCCTCATTTTACCTACCCAGTCCCAGAAATCCAGCTGTCTACCACAGACCTGTACAGACTTCCTCTGAGCAAGAAAGTACTGCCTTCCATGTGAGCAAATTCATTAATTGCCACTTTAAGTGCCTCTCAGCTCCCAGCTATGGGAACAGAACATGGAGTGAAGTGGGCTAATCTCACTTGTTAAAAAACCTCTGAGTCCTTTACAAACTGGAACTCACTGAAGCTGAAGCACCCACTCAGTAACAGCCTTGTAGTGTCATAAAAATATCAGGCTGAAGATATGTATACACAGCACACAAGGTCACACCATTATTATAAACACAGTCTTAACACCAAATATGCAATCACTTAAAAAAACATTGCCTTTAGCACCCACCCCAAACCCAGTATCCTTACAAGAACACTGCTGGTACATGCTGTCTAGCAGAGATGGCATTTCCCCATTCCATATTCCAAGGGGTCTGGAAAAATTTTTCCACCCAGACATCTCTGAGGCTCCTGGAGGAAAGCTTTCCTTTTATTCCTCCTTGGCCTTTCCAAAAACCTTATAAAATTATATCATGATACAGATGATATTATTCCATTTCCTGCAGAGTACTTAAAAAAATTGAAAATACTCTCTTTTGAAGAAAAAGACTGATTTAAGGCCAGCAGCAACTGGAACTCAGTGATCCCTTGAATTCAATATAGAGTGTTGAAGAATCTTAGGCAATTAAGAGCCTAACCACATGCTTCTGCTCCATGGGGCTGAAAGCCACTCATTAGAACTATGGATCATGCTGTGTGGGCTGTAAAACCACAAATTATAAAAGACACAGTATATAATTAGCAAGGGATTCATTATGAACTGATTTAATAGTAAGCTGGCATGTTGTTTACATTTATTAAGAGAACTGAGTTTTATCTTATTTTGAGGGCAATTTTGAAAATGGAATAACTTACTGTGGAAAACCAAGTAATTAAAAAAGACAAAAACAAGACCTTTGTCTTCTGAGGCAATGCAAGCTTTTCCAACCCCAGCACACAACTTCCTAAGTCCTTAAGACAAATGTGTTTTTTTCCTTCTGGGTAGTATCTTCCCATTCCAACATTTCAAACCTCATGGGCACTGACTGTTCATCTTCCTGGGCTCACATTTTATGACAACATAAAAACCCATCTTGGTTCCTAAAGTCCAGGTTCCCAGATTCCCAATTACATTCCCCTTCATTTTGATTACCATAGTAAAAGAGAGTGATTTAGGATTAAAATGCAGTAGTCACACATAAATATAATTTCCAAGTGAATCGTCACATGAATGAATAAATAATGTACAGCAATGAACCTGGAACCAATTTCTCAGCACGGGAGTGAATTGAAAGAGCACGGTCCCTTCCCCTAAGTTAGTCTAATCTGCAACACAGTGTAAAAGAGGGAAGTAGAAGTGGCATTGGGGTAGCAGTAGTTAAGCTAGAGCCATAGTAATCAATCTTTCCAGGGCATTTTACATGCTACCTAGTTAGGGTCAAAGACAGCAATACAAGCTGGGCAACCTGACATGTGCCTCACAGAAATCTCACTATTTGGATTCAGCAGAGCTGATTACACAGCAGTCAGAACAGTGGGAACTAGGCAAACATCTAGTGAAAACTTGTGTGTTTACATTCACAGCTGCTTAGGCCATAGCCACATACCTAAGTGACTATCCTAGCTGCCCTTTGTGGCTCAGACCAGGAAGAAGAAATGGGGGTGGGTATTCTTATGTGTTTTCAGCACTGCAGTAATGTTTTTAGAAACAGAGGAAGAAACAAAGTCCACTGACCTATTAAATCCTCACTTTTGCCACCTGAGCATTGAGCACTATCAAATTTCACAGGCACTCCTGCTAAGAGAGCAATTTGCAAAGTACAGCACTGCTAGGAGTGAGTGATGGTGCCTTAACATAAAAGCTTTAGTTATCTGAGAATCAGTAGGAGTCACAGAGTCCTAGGGCAGCGTTCCCAGCAGATCCAGTGATATGTTTACACATGCTGGGCTTGTTTGGAAACCTCTTGAAAGCTGCTACTCGGGGTTGTAGTTACTGATGTGTTACCTGCAAGCCAGCAGTACCCTGTGTTTGCACAGGGAGTCTCAGAGACTGCTGAGACCCAGGCTGAAGCTGCACTGCATCCAAGAACTACACATGTAAAAATGCAAACAGTGCTTTTGGCTTGGGGCTTAACCCATTTCAGCACTAACATGGAAGAGCTTTCATTTTTTATGACATCAAGGTTTACCATGTGCGAATAGCAGGAACTGCTTGCTCATGATGACTGCAGGTGTTTGTCACACACAGTTGTTTTTATTTTAATTCTCACATTTGTAAGGTAAAACCTATCCAGAGAGACAAAATTCAAATGCTTGTTAACCAAGGGAAGGTGAGGTAAGTGAAATTTCAACGAATGATACAATCTCTTAAATGTGAGGAGCTGGCATTTCCCCTACACTTACTTGATGAACAGCCTATGATAGCAAAGATTCTCAACATGTTTCTCCATATTGCACTTTTGGAAGCAGTTTTATTCTGCAATTTATCACAACCAGGGTTCTGCATAAGCTTTCCAGAGAAAATTCTGAACATCCTGTTCTGGCAGGCCCTGACCTTTTCCAAGCCCTGCTTGCAAGCGCCGGGAATTTCAGCTTCAGAGAATATATGGAAAAAATCATGCAATCTCTTTTCTTACTTAAAGTCACAAAAAAAAAAAAAAAAAAACAACCTTGAATTTTGAAGACGAAAAAAAAAAAAAAAAAAAAAAAAAAAAAAAAAAAAAACCTTGAATTTTGAAGACAGAAATTATTTTTTAAAAAGGCACAGCTTTTACTTTTTAAAAAAGAATCAAAGCTAGTCCATAGGCCAATCATAATCAAACTATAAAGGAGACTTATCGGGCTACAAGATATTACTAGGTCCCCAGATAACATTTGATATGAAATAGCAATTTTCAGGATTTGGATTCCTTTAATCTTTAGTTGCCTGGCTCTCATTTATGCTGTAAACAGGAAAGATGGCTCTGTTTAAAGGCCACCCCCTGTGCCTGTGGATTTCACAGCACCACTTCTGTGTCCATGACCTTCTCCATGCAGTTCTGATGGCAGCAGCCAACTCAAGAGGTATTTCTGCCTCTGACCTTGTGCTGGAGGAAAAACCTACAGGTTGTTGGTCAGAGAGACTCTTGAGTGTCTCTGACAGCCACCCTATGTCTAAGATGAGACTCAATGCAAGTTATTCCTGAGGCCTCTTGTTTATGAGGAGTGGGTTTATGATTGGGGTTGAGCTTGCTCCAGGGATCAGCCCAGCCCAAAGCCGCCTCCAGAGGCTGTACACAGCATACTAAAGCTGAGGTCTGATTAAGCAGAGTTAGGCTGCCCACACTCCACACACTAATCTGTGTCTAACCACTCCTAACCCTAATTCTAGAGGCTGCAGAATCACAGAACTGGGTGAAAGAAAATCTCCCAGCTATCAGTCTCATCACAGTAAAGACAAGAACCTGTCATGTTTTGTCAATGAAGAAACCAAGCTGAAGGTGGTTTTTTCATCACTCACATTATTAGTCTAGTCTTGGCATTGTTACCATGGACCTTTGAGGAGAACTCTTTTTCTGCTCCAAAAATTGGAAAGGTTTTTTTTTAATCTTTTCATCCTACTCCTCTAAACTTGCCCTTCCCAATATAAATTGCAAGGGCTTGTACAACTCAACTGTTGCTTTCATATCTTGGACTCTCTTACTGTTCCTTTACCCTCCTCACCTATTTCAATTGATTTTACTTGCTCTGTTTGAAATCCTTACCTTCTCTTGTCTCTCTTGCTGCTTCTCAAGTGAAATTACTCCCTCCTGTTTTGCACTCACAACCTGCCTCTTCAGTATTTGTTAACACTTGACACCAGACCAAGCATAAAAATTGTATCAGTAAACTATACCATAAAGTCTTTGTCTGATGCAAAAAATATGATAGTAGCTTTCAGTCAGACATAGTCACAAGAGCTATTTCATTTTAATTCATATTCATTTGTGCTCCTAACTTGTGAACTGCATGTTTAGTAGGTAAATACTTGCACATTTAATCAAATGTAATAAAGAAAGTCAGAAGTAGCTATCATTCTAAGATGATTTTCCACGAGAAAAACACTGCAATATGGATGTCAGCCACAGTTACACTGCCTTGTCCAGCTTAAGAGAACAAAACTGAGTTCAAACCAAAATGGATGTATCAGACATTGCAACAACAGGAAGGAAGTATGCATGTAAGGGAAGGCATATTTGCATATTCAGTGAAAGCTTGTTAATGTTGTTCAACAGCTGATCTGTTACCCCAGAGAGTGGCCCTGTGAAGCCACCTTGGCACTGGAGCCCCCAGAGCTGTACCTTGGAAGAGCAGTGATCTTCCCCCACTTCTCCACGCAGAAGCGCCTGGGCCCGTTGCTGCCCCGGAGAGAGGCAAAGCCTTCGTAGGGAATGCTGGACGTGCCTGTGACAAACTGGCAGCACAAACACCCGTCAGGACAGGCCTGCACACAGGGGCTGGGGGGGGCACAGCAGCACACCCACCACAGCCCAGACACTTTTGGAAAAGCATTTGCAAAGCAAGGAAATTTGTGAGGCACAAGCAATAAATGCTACTTTACATGGAGGCTAAGGGCAAAGAGACCATTTCCTGGCTGGGCTCTGGAAGAGGCAACCTAGCAGAATAATTTCCTCTAAAACTTTGCTGCTGCATAAATATTGTAGAATAACAGACTATCAGTATCCAGTTACTCAGACTTAAGCCTAAGTGAGTTTTTTGCTGCTGTTTCCTGCATTAAAAGGAACTAACACAAAACATAGTAATATCTGGTGGCTTTGTGTTATGCCTTTCTAGCTATATGGATTTCCTTTGCTTTATAAACCACAATTAACTACTGTAAGAAAAGGACAAAATTCTGAAGGTTAGATATGCCCACTGACATTTGTTGAAATACTGACTCGTGAGCAGTTTTATTTACAACCTGTCATGAACAGATCAAATGTAGCTTTTGACAGATCAGACTACTTAATTTGTAATGACCTGGATATTATAAAAACTTCTGACTAACAGATGTGACAGGAACATACAAGCAGACATTTCTGTCTCGCCATCAAATGAGATGTTCTACACTGCCTTTTTACATCTTTTAAAAAATACTTAAACGGATTCAAAAAAGAAAATTCTTCATAATTCAGTCATCAGATAAAAATTCTGAACTGTTAAAACCAGCAGATTTCATATTAGATCAATAATGTGGTATGGTTTGCAGTGGAGGTTTGTCTGTTTCTTTACAGACAGGATGGATGTAACCTGAACTTAAAAAATTTAAGTCAATAGTAAACCCACATATATAAATATTTTTCTGTTGAGATATTTTGTCCTTCAGTCAGCAGCAGGGTGACTGGAACCTGCAGGTTTAGTGAAAATGGAATTGGACTGACTTTAAGGTTTCTATCATTATTTTCCAATTTGAAGCCTTGAACTTCCATCTAAGCTTTCTCCTTCCTAAGCTGTATAAATACCATTAACATTTCTACCTAATGACATAACCAATTACACAGTTTTCCTTTTCTATCTTTAGGAGTCTTAATGTACTTTTAATCAAGCAATAGTAAAGGATTATTGATATTAGCCATTGTATCTTAAATGTACTTTTAAACTTAGAAATCTATAAAATAGAAGTGAGCTTCTGTCACTTGAAATTATTTCATTTAGCCTCTGACTCAGGCTATTCCCAGTAGTAAACATCACCATAGTTTCTGGGTATCCTAAACCAGGATGGGGCTATTTGAGCATCAAATTTTAATTATTTTTACACAGATCAGCTGATTTCTTACCTGTAAAAGTCTTAGACGTTGTTCATTGTTGAACCTTTCCACAGCAGCCCAGAACCACCGAATTACAATGTGATTGTCATGATAACCTGTTAAAACAACAAGAGCCTTTATACTTTCAGGTGCCATGAAAGTGGTTGAGGGAATAGTTAGTAAACTTTTCCTGGTTTGGCCCTAGTCACAATAATGCTATATTCTTTATCCAGTTGCATCAAAAGGCAGAAGGTGAGAGAGAAATACTCCTAAAATCCTTAAAAATTCTAAAGGCAAAGAATGAATGTACTATGACAAAAAGAAGTGAGATCCCTTGTGCAAGCATTTCTTCCATTAATCAGTCACTAACATGAATGCCAGTTCTTGAACTATTCCAACACTGTGCTATTTATCTATCCAAAGCTACAAATGATGCTGCAACCATTTCTCTCACAGTATCTCAGAGTTCCCAAATCATCTGTTGTTCTGAAATTATTTCAACTACCAGCCTGCAGCCACTGTGATTGTTTCTAATTTCCTGTCAACTTTGAGTGCGTAAAAAAAGAAGAGGAATATGCAACCAAGAATGGCTACCATTTCCATTTCTCTCCCAGGTCTGGGAGGTACCTCCCAGTGTGCAGCTGAACATGGCACTTTCTGTGGAGAAGAGTGTCCTGTCGTGCTATCTAAGCAAGGGGATGCAAGGAAGCAAACTAAAATGGAAAAATTACCTTCTCCTAACACTAACTTAACCAGAGAAACTCAAAAGTTACTACAAATGTATCTCATGGGATGGTTCTTTACTGTCCTGAAAACTAGGTAGGTCCAGAGCTCTCGACACTGTGACTGAACAAGTCAAAATTCAAGTTACCTCCTCTGTACTCTGTATTATTTCTCCAATCACTCAAGTCAATTTCTGCTGTTCCAGCTATAACCAGTTCCAGTTCTCTGGCATCAAATACAGACACCAGTCTTGCATCAACCACCTGTGAAAGAAAATAAAATGCATAGCAGCATTTCTTCATGTACTGATTCGTGCCTCCCCATAAAATCTGTTACTAAGGTATTCACCAGGTATCATTTCAGGTAATTCAGAATTCAGGTTTTGTCTTTTTAAACAAACAAGTCTCAGAGACCCAGTGCAGAAACAGAGCAAGGATTCAATGCTAATCATACAGTGATTGAGAGTATTGTCCAGTGCAAAGCAGATACATAACCATAGTCTTTATATAAATTACTAAAAAAATTTTTTTTGCGCTCCCTTCCTCTTCCACTATCTGCAAGGGCACTTCTGATTATATTTGGGTATTTTGGAAATGTATACAAGAAGAAAAATATTTTGGAAGGAGAAAGAAAGTAAATTTAATTTTGGAGCTTTTTACCTCATAGAAACCACGAACTAGACTTTCTGTTTGTTGTACAACTCCTCTCTCAATTCTCCATTTCACCATTCTCTCGATGTATTCTTTCTTGTTCTTTTCAGTGACTGGGATATTGGCACCTCCTGGTTTTAGTTCCCGTTCTGTGATCTTAGGACAAAAAATGACCAAGTGACAACACAGTTATTATAAAGACAAAAGAAGGAACTGTAATAACTTAAATTTTTAAGCTGGAGTATTCCCTAAAATCACTAAACAAGCCTGACTAACAAACTGGAATATATGAAGTAAGAGAACACACAAAAAAAATTTTAAAAACAGTATTTTAAATTCCATTTAGTCTGAGGAACCTTCATAATTAGATTGAAGAATAAGTTGAGAAGAAGAAACAATCTTGACAGTGACTAAAGCATTGGAGTTTTCTGAATAATACCTTAACAAAGGTGTTGTAATACCTTTGAATAGAAACTTTGCTGCAATTCAATTCAGGTGAACTACCTCTAGCAAAGCAATCCTAAATTCTGATGTTTCGGATACTCTCCAGAAAAGCTCCTTAACCAGAAAAACATGTTTGACCTGCTACAAATATTTATTCCTCCTCAGATTTCAACACTGGTTTCACCAGCAGGAATTTTTAGAATACAAGTTCAAAGCAGCATGGAAGGACACTCATTCTTCTGTCCAAATAAATGTTTATCTAGCAGTAGAATGCACCAAGGAAATTAAGAATCTTGCACACCTGCCCAAAAACTTCTTCATTTACAGTAAACGTGAGATCTAGGATATCGTGTATGTCATTGTCTTTCATCCACTGCAAACTCTGGTGAAACTCTTCATCCAGATATTCCAGGTCACTCAGGTCACAGAGTCTGACAGAAGAAAGAAGAAAACACACAAATACAGATGATGGCAGCAGCCTGTGCTCAGTAAATAAACTCAGACAAAACTGAATGGGAGCCAAGAGAAACATTAATAAAGAGGACAACTTCAAGTCTCTGTTTATTTGCCTGGTAACAGCAGTTACTGTAAAACACAAAATAACTCTGTAAATATACAAAACTCCAGAATTTAATTTGAAGACACATTGCTTCTTAATGGTGAGTCTGCCCCATGTTTCCTGAGAAGCACATTTAGGAAATATGAAAATACACAGATTGAAGAGACAAAGAATTCAAATAATAGAAGAATTTTTAAGATTTTTTTTAAAAAAGCAAGCAGTGTCCTTTTTGTTTATGTAGCTACACTGCCTCATCTCCATAATTCGTTGAACTGCTTAGATTTCCAGCTTACCACATACTTACCATACTTTCCCTTACCTCATCCTTCTCACTAAAATGGTGCTGCTAGCATTCAGGTGTTTTAAAAATGTATGTGCAGTAGGAACGGATTAATTACTCCCCACTAGTAGAACATGCAATGTTTTATAGGAAAAAAAAATGCTTCCAGACTTCTCAAAACCAGCTTTCCAATAAAAGTAAAGCACCTTAAGTTTATTAGGTCTTAGCTTCCAGACATGCTGAGCAAGCACAGCTCTCAGTGTTTCAGCCAGAACAGAAGCAGTAGTTCTGGAAAGTAAGTCTGAAGTCTATCAAAGTACAGCTCCTCAAAATGGAGATTGCCAACAATCAGTCTACCTCTGAGAATGCATGGTGCAGTCTAAGTTATGAAGTGATTCATATCCTATCCTGTGAGTCATTACATGACAAAAGAATAAGAACTCTATTAATATCTGGAATAAGCCCACAGCACGGCATTGTACATCTTCAAGTCTAGAAGAAAGCTGGTAACAGGGCTAAAACAAAACACAAGGTTCTCATACTGATCACAAACAACATTCTGAGGTAGTGGAAACAAGGAAATTTTTCAAAAAGTTAATGGATTGAAAACAGTTTATTAAATTAGAAATAATGGCCTGTCTCCTTTGTCAATACAGCATCATAAATAATCCATACACAAAATGGCATCACTGATGGGGAAGGAACCAAACAAAAGAGGAGACAGAACAATTCTACTCACATTCGGAGGAGGGCTTTATAAAAGGGTCTTGTAAAAAAGGCATCCAGCAAATACTGATGTATCAGAGCAAGACCAAGAATTCGACCACTAAACCTGAACCTGGAAGAGAAAGGGTTACAGTCATGATACTGAAACTTTGTGGTTGGCACACTGCTCTGTCATCAAAACTTGCATGTATTTCCAAACAGCATTATTAAATCAGACAGCTATGTCTAAATTGTGGTATTTTTGTTTATTTCTTGGGTTTCTTTAACATTCTCAGAAAGGCACAGGGAAAAAAAATAATAAAAAAAGCAACTGCAGGGTGTGGAAAATCCCTCAGATACCTAAGTCACAGCTGCTCAAAAATGTTAAATCCATATTTAACCCAATCAGCCCCTGCCAGAGCAGCCACTTTATAAATGCATTATCTCCCCAAATGATAGCCACTGTTTATTTTTATTTCACACCCCTATAGGATTAACTTGTTTTCATGTTATAGAGGGGCCACAGATTCTTCTACTCTCCCTGGCTGACAGCTCATGCTGCCTGTCTTTCCTGCTTACAGGGGCTCCTTGCTCCCTCTTCTGACTGTGGTTAAGGAGTTCTATGTATATTTTCACAAACACTGCCAGAAATTTTTTTATGTATTGTAGTGCTCTCCAGCCCTGTGTCAACAGGATCTAAATCTCCTTCTCTCACCTCCTTCCCTTATTATCTTCATTTTGTTGGGTGTGTAAGGAGGAAGTTTGCCAGGGGTGAGACCAAATGGCAGCAACCTTGAAATAGGAGGGTCTTTGCAAATATTCCCATGAGAATCCAGATCCATTGTGAAAGCTCTTCCACAATTCTAGAACTAGATTAAAGTCTAGTGTCTGTTTTCAAAGTAAGTGTTTCTTGAACTTTCTGTTTATGTATCCTTAACAATATTTTTCTTGGAAAAATTAGCGCTTTATTATATCTGCTTGTACAATGTTTGCAAGATGAGGATGTGACATGCAGAGCCTTCCCCTTTCCATGCATAAATTGCTTGTCACAGCTGCATTTTCTGAATTCCCCCTGGGGCTGTACAAAACCAGCACTCTCTGAAAGAGATAGGGGTCATGCCTCCTTCATTCCCCAGGTCTCTGGTCCAGCACTGCAGAAGCCAGGGATGAATAAAAAACGTTGGCAGAAGCTGCACAGCACATAAGGGTTTTCTCCCACCTCTGTGCCAGGCTGTTCTGCCTTTCCAATAGAGACCTGAAATACTGGAGTTCAACAGGCAAGTTGCTTCAAGTAACTGAACTGCCAACCAGTTAATTTTCTTTTCATTTGTAAAATTAATAATGAGATTCCCCTCTGATACTCATTCTTTATAACTGGCCTTCAAAAAAACAAGAACTCAGTGCATATCTGTCCTACAGAGATGAGCACTTGTCATTCCACTATTAATGTAATCCAACTACTTACACAGCAGAATTCTCTGTTAATAGTCACAGCACAGCTTTACAGATTTATGGTGATGCCATGGCTTAAATCAACTGAGGGTGATTTAAACTGGCTTATAATTGTAAAAATAGGATTATGCAAAAATCCTCGATAACTATTTCAAAAGCACGGGTGAATGTACAGACTGTTTCAAAGCTGTGTGATCAGCAGTCTCCCCCCTACCCCCAATTAAGATATCACCACAGATTTCCTTCCAATAGGTATGTTGGGGTTTTTCCACTGAGGAGATCTCTGTATTCTTTAGGAAGACTCAAACAAATTACATACAGTAATAAGTACCTGAAACCTCCCTTCATCTCCTTAGCTGACAAAAAGTCAATGTGTTGTTATTTTTTCTTGTTTTTTTCCTAATATACAAGAGGTTAATACTGCTTTCATGAAATGACTACTAATGTACAAGAAATGCAGGGAGTTGTGTTGTGAGACAATCCCATGATACATGTTCCAAATTATAATTTTGCTGACCTTGTGAGAAATAAGATCATTTAAAAACCACAAGAGAAACCAAAATCAGGGAAGTCTAAAGAAATGCAATTATCTTGCTGCTGGTTAAAAAGATCAGATTCTGTGTTAAATGTCTGAGCAGATCTGAGCAGTAATTCTATAAGTGGGAATAACAGAAAATGTATCTGAAAAACAAAAGAAAAGAATTCTTACCACTCATGGTGATTGTCTACGAAAGCAGACATGGGACTTATTTGTACTGTGTAGGTATCATTGGCTGAATATTCAAACAAACCATAATATGGATTGAAGAGCTCCCTGGACACCAGGAAAAAAAACTCTCTTGATGGTCCACTGTAGTCCAACCTTTAAAGAGAAACCTGACATTACTATGAAGCAAGAAACTTTTTTTTTTTTTAATCTACATTCCTTACACTATATTTTGATTAAAATTTCGTAAGATTTTAACCAAAACCCTTATCCGTGCAGATTGCCTAATGCAAAAATATGTGGAACTCTCAAGGGACTATTCTAAAATGGAATGGCTTGGAGGACTGGAATGAAGTTCTCCATGTGGGCTGCACTCAGAAAGTAGCTTTGGCTCCAGCTGTAGTGGCCTTTCTGCCACAGAAATACAACCAAATAATTGGGGGTGGCCAGGATAGGGAGGAGAAAAATCATGAAAAGAGCCAAAATCAGACTTATCTGCATCTGACAAATTAACACTGAAAATAAACAATGGCCATATTTTGTCTTTGCAGACTGCAACCATAGGACAATTGGAGGGATAATATTTGTGCTTTCCCTAGCAATATAATCTGAAATTACTTCAGTGATTTATGTTTCTTGGTCTAAATTTTCTTGTCTGTCTTCCAAACTTGAGCACATTTAAATGTCTTTTGGAGAGTGCACTTCCTTTGTTGGGTTTTTTTATTTGTTGTTTTCTACTTTTTTTTCCCTATTTCAAGATTCCAGTACTAATGAATCGAAATAACCCCTTCTTCCTGAATGATAAACAAACTCATTGCTGACAATGCACTGAGACTGAATTGTGGCATTACTCTGCAGGTCACCAGTGAAATGAGTTAGGTATGATATTAATGCTCTATTAGAGTTGGAAAACAGAAAACTAGGAATTTTCCAGTGGGAGCAGAGAATATTATAATCCTAACAAAAAGAAAGATACATCTTTTATAGATGAAAGATTTAATAATTGACTCCAGTACTAAGACAATGCACAGACAGACGTACCACAGAGAAAGTCAGCTTTCACAAAGAACTCCTGCTACAAATGTTTTGGCTCATAAACTTTTACAGAAGACAACCACAAATGAAAGTTGTTTTTGAGGATGAAGTTGTCAGGGAAGTAAAGGCTAGGTGCCATTACCAAGCTGAGGACAAACCCTCTTTCCTCAGCTGATTAAAAAACATTTTCCCTTCAGTCACAGGGAAGCATTTCACTTCTGTTAAGCTTCAGCAGTGAAGTACTGAAACAGATCCTTACCCTGGCAAGAAGGGGTAGATTCCATCAACAAATTAGAGAAAAAAAAAATCAAAAATTGTTTGATACCATGGACAACTGTTGGATCTTAATCTTGGCATCAATACCAGGATCAAGGATAGGGTCATCTGCAAGACTCTTGCAAACTTCTGGGATAATCAGACACACTAAGAAATCCTGAGATAGAAAGGAAACTGTGTGCTTGACTATCAGCCACTTCATACAGCTCCCTCTGTATGCAGTTACTGTGAGTCATGTTAAATAAATCAATCATGAGAGTCCTGCACTGCCAGTCAGATTTATCCTACAATTAAAGGCTTGGCACAAGGGTGAGAAAACTTCATACGAGAGGTATGCAACCACACAACAGCTGCAACAGTGGGGCATTTGGATATTCAGGAGACTAGTATGTTGTTGGCAACATGACTCATGTCTCCTAGGAAGCACCATTAATACTTCAGATTTACCACTCTTAAATGCAAAGCAGCTTCTCCTAGTAGTTCAAAGAACTCAAGAAAAACAAGGAACCATATTTTTCTATATAAATTTTTGTAATGTATTACCAAAATTAATGAGTGTATAAAAACCATTAAATGAGCATCACAATTGATGAGTATAGAAACTGAAGATCTGAGGAAGATACACATTATGAGACTTATGACAGAAATCACTTGAATAGCAATAACCATGTCTGAGTTGCCCCACTTAGTATTTTATATACTAATAAATCAATAGTTACTAGAATGCTCTATTATGTATTTCCTTACCCATTACTTTATGACTTATATCTCTTTACCAAGAGGAAAAGAAATGCAAAAGCAAACTCCTACTTACACTCTTAAAAAAGGAGGAGCAAATAGGAAACAATTAACTTTCAGTATTCCTCCTCTCCTCCACCCTGACCTGTCTTTCTTCACCTGGCCAAATGAGTGGTTGGATGCGATACATATCCTTGCACCATCTCTGATGAAACAATACTGTTTGCACACATCGTTTCTTCATTAAAAATACAGACGTGTAAATAAAGGACTGACGTCATTTTAATTTGACTTTGCTCCTAATTAACTGATTCTTTTCCATTAAGGCTAGAGTCTCATGTAAAGCTGGATCTAATGGGGACAGGAGGTGTCACCCCCATTTCCAGGGGGGGTGAAATGCTGCTGAGTGGTGAAATGCAAAAGTCTGACGTCTGATGAAAGGAAATGGTGTATCTGGATCAATCTCTATCTCATGTATGATTTAAAAAATTTCCCTTTCATTTTTAAATCTGATTTGAGGCTGTAGGTGTGAAAGTAAAGGCTGGTAGGGGCTGTGTAAAGCAGGCCTTGTTCCTGCATCTCCACCCTCCTTTGTCAATACAGCATAATCTCATTGTGCACCAGCCTTGCCATTCCAGTTCTGAGCTTATCCTCAGAGAGCATAGTGATATTATTTATATGAACAAGTCCACACTTGTCTCTCAGCTGTAAACATTCTTTATTTTAAGACTTCACTGGGTCTTTATTAACACGCAGTGCTTCAGGGTAAATTTTAAACAAACAGTAGGATTTAGAGGTTTTCAAAGACATATTAATTTTATCTAATCTTGTAGGAGATGTTTCTATTACAACTTTGCATTTTAAAGACTCACACATTGCATGGCAGTAGCCCACACTACAGCATTTCAAGAGCTGTGCTGCAGTTTTCTGAATATCATGGAATAAAAGTTTGAATGTTTATAAACATATTCATGAACCATTTCAACAACAGACAAGTGGGCTTTCAGACCTGCCAAAGGGGGCACAAATCAAGAGACAAAAGCAGCAAATAGTACATTGTTTCAGTTTCACTTGCAAAGGAAATCTAACTACATCTTGCTTTGCAAAGCACATCTCACAACCTGTAACATATTAGACTTTCATTAGACACAAACTGAGCATTCTCTGAAGGTGACTTTGAAGCCTGGGGAATATTTGGGGTTTTTTAGCAACTGGCAACAGCCCAGTTGCTTTTATTTGTGATGTAGGCCCTGGCTTGAAGAGGCAGCGAGCACCTCCTGTAGCATTGAGGGCTTTCTGCCATCAGTGCCTCAGACAGGGGCTAAATTAAGGACTGAACCCAGAGCCTACTCTGAAAGCACACTCCCTCCAACAAATGGCAGCTGTCTTTTGGTAAGCCCTGGAGACACAACAGCACTGAGAGAAAAGAAATATGAATAACACAAGAAAGTTGTTTGGGTTTTAATTTGCTTTCCCAGCAACATTCTGAAACACACACCAGCTATTGGGAAAATTCACACAAGCATTCACATTACTTCTGCAAAGGCAAGATATGTTACATTGAAAAATGCTTAAGAAGCCATCTTGAACAGCTGCATGTTCTAGGCTTGTGTATGTGGCATTTCCTGACCACAGCCCTTCCTCTTTTCACTCTAGACAACAAGTTTGGTGAGAGAGGAGCTGCAAGACACTGTGTTCTCAGGCCACAAATACTTCCCTGTTTTACTCACCCTTCTTCCCCAACGAACGTGACATAGAGTTTATTTCTCTGCAGGTCTTTTCTTGAGTAGCCCATGATCTGGTTAAAGGCATCTTCTAACAAGTGATCTCTCCTGATGATTAATCTGAAGGGCAAAATTATTTTGAAACAGCAATTTGTGAACATGAACCACATTTGGAAACATCTATTTACACAGCAGGATAGTAACCAGGGTGATTTCAGAGATACCTGTTTCTGCTGGATAATTTTATTCAGATCAGGAAGCTCCTGTTCTCCAAAGCTCTCTCTTATGTTTCAATAAAATGTCCCTTGTACAAGGAAGAGTAGTTTTGTTTTGTCTACCTTGGTTCTTCCTTAAAGTCTTAAGCAGAAAGGTCCTAAAGCTGGAATTTCATTAAGTCTGAAATCCTTTTGTAAAGCTGGGTCCCTAAGTGAGTTTAACTGTGAGCAAGAATCTCATCTTTTCCATAAAAATCAATCTCTTAACACAGAAAAATATAAAACCATAGAAAATCAGTATGGTAAACCCAGAAACACACATCCCTACATTATCCTTGTGTGATGGTACAAGAAGTTCAGAAGGAATGGCAATTATTTGTACAAAACTCCACTGAAACATCACATGTGAAAACGCAATGTACCTTCTGAAAGAAAAATTGTGAAAATGAGGAAGTGTCAAAGATCTAAAATAAGAGGTGAAAGAATCCTCCTTACTTAAACATTTTATCCTCTGCCAAAAAAATGTGTTTAATTAGTTTCCTGAAACTTCACTTGCTCTATATTCAAATACTGCCTTCTGTGTGTGCCCATCAGATGGCAGCTGCTGCTGCCTGCAGGAAGGCAGGAACGCACCCCAGCTCCTGCAAAGCCCCTCTGGCCCTGCAGAGCTCAGTGACTGCACTGAGCCATCCTGCCGAGGACATGCAAGGGGAGAGCCAGGAACTGAGCAGGCACCTGGGCAAAGAGAGGACCCAGGCAGCAGTGGAGCTGTGCTGGGCCCTGTTTTGAACAGGTCAGTGCTGTTGCCTGGGAAAGCAACCCAGAGAAAACTTCCATTCCCATGTCAAACTGCAGCTTAAAAATCTACAGTGTGATGGCAAATAGGGCAGGGAAGAAAGGACAGGGAAAAAAGGGTGTGAGAAATGGAACAGATTATTACAGGGAGCCAAAGCTCCACACCAGTTATTTGCCCAAGCACTCAGGACAAAGCTTTCATAGATAAGGCTTTAACTGTTCATGATTTCATTATATTTTAGGCAGACACTACTCAACCTTTGCCTCTTAAGACCTGTCTAAACAGTAGCATTTTAATCGCATTTCAGTTTTGCAAAACTTGTAATAAGCTCACATGAATGAAGCCTGAGCTTTGCACAGATTACTGCAAAAATAAGTGACTGGCTGAAAGAAATTAAAAAAAAATAGAAAATCCCTTTTTTTTATAATAGAGGAAATTATTAAATCGTGTTCTAGTGCCTCGTGGCTATGAGTTTGACCACTGGCACAAGACTTGGTAATTTACAAAATTTTGAAAGTATCTTGTGAGAACAATTCTTATATATAACAGCACATAATCACATGATTAGCTAATAAATGAAGGAGGGAAGACCTCACTCCAAGTACTCTACCATTCAGAGTTCTAAAATAAAAATATTAGCAGTTTTTTAAGGCAATCCTTAGAGTTTAGTAACATTTAATGTATGAATCCTCATTACTAAAGCAGACTGTGGTATCAGGATGGACAATGATGTACAAAAGATATGTCTATCTAATTTTTTTTTTTAGTGGAAAAAGATACGAGAAAATATAACTGTTTATATCATAATGGAAGAATTCAGATGCCTCCTGTTCTGCAGGCCTCTTCCCAAAGCTCTTTTTGGCACCGTATTGGTAATACAATACAATTGTCTGTACAAAAACATAGTTGGAGGAAGCACAGAGGTGCTCAGAACTTGCTGTATCCTCTGTTATGAGTCACATGCTGGCATTAAATGTTTTATTACAGGTTTTATATTCCCAGAAATGCCTGGGTAACCGTAACATCTGCATTCCTTCTAATGGGAAGAAGCTTGCAGATGCGCAAGGCAAGGCAAGCTGCCTGAAAAGAAATCCAGTTTCATGAGATGCTTCAACCTACTTCAATTTCCCTGGGCCTTGTCCATATCCTTTAGTCTCCAACTTCCTGTAGAAGTTCCTCAGCTTGGCTTCAAAGTCTCTTTTGTAGGGAGCTGGAGCTCGGGCATTGGCACGCTGAGTACCTGCAGGGAGAAACAGGCACAGGATGAGCTGTGTGACATGAACTGATGGATGTCCCATCTGCTGCTGGAAAGATTCCTTAATAGCAAAAGGTATGCATGGTATGTGTTTGGTTTAGTCACCTTTATAAAGAGTAAAAGCTGCATATCTTCAAATCTGCTCTGCATCCAAGACTTTCTGGTTGCTCACTTCCAATAGTATCATCTTTCAAAAGTAAATTTTAAAAGAGCAAATCCAGGTCAATGCAAAAGATGGATTTTAAAAACAACACAAGCAACTAGAAAGACTTTGTTTTTCAAGTACACTTTATGTCTAACCTTTGTAATAGTTCATATGATAAATCTTCTGCTCTGGCTTTAATATTATCAGAAAAACAACAACTCAGAAATGAAGCAAAAATAGGCTGGACTCTGCATTGCCCATGCTGACTACACCAAGAGGAAGAAGGAAAATATTTGGAAATTCCTTAGTGGAAGTTTTTTCCCCGGGGAAGTAACAAGGAAGAAAAATATAGGAAGAATGGAAAGACTACCAAATTTAAGCTTGTGGAACTTCTAATCTGTGGCTGCAGAAACATATATGATGGCCATGTAAGTGAATTTAATTTTGACAAACTGTTTTTGAGGGTCAATTTCTTAAAGGCAAGGAGAGGTGAGATCCTTTTTTTGGTACATCAAAAAAAAAAAAGGCATACCCTGTAACTGCATGTACAGTATATACAAATTAGTTGTTTAGTCTCATCTATTCTGAAAATGGCCATCATTAAGACTTCCACTGCCTCCCTGGATAAATTACTTCCACTGATTCAAATGCGAGGCAGGGTGCCAAGGAGGCAGTTAAACTCCTTCCCTCCATGGCTGTGTAGACATCCCACACAAAAAATTCAGAGGATGTTTAAAATTTTTCATGCCCTAAAGTACATACAAGTTGCCAACTACTTCTCAGGAACTAGTGGTCACCTGTAATGCACTGAAAGCACAAGAAGACTTTAGCAGCACTTTTCTGCAGAGTTCTGTCTTTTAGCTCAGTTCCTAGTGCAAGTTTGCTTTTGGCTTCCTGCATGAAGCTAAGCCAATACAGAAACATTGATTGCTACTGTGGGGGAAGGCATGGGAACGTAAGGTTTCAGGTGCTACAAGAGAGGAGGTGCATCCGTTCAGCCTGTGGGCAGAGACGGGGGAAGGAGGGCAGCCACAAAGCCCATGGGTCTGACGGAAAAGGCGACAGCACATCCTGCGGAAGTGGGGGCTGGAAGGAGCTGCAGAGTCTATCTCTGCAGAGATCAGAGAGCCAGTGAGCTCACCAGCAGCACTGAATGCCATTTAACAGGTCTTTAAAAGACCTGTCTGACCAGAAAGACACTTGGCACTTGTTCCAGGCTTGAAGTGAAGTGTGGGAGGAATAGTAAATATCATGGAATCTGCAGGGATCCAAAAGGAACATGAAGGATCCCTCTGGAAAAACAGATCATGGTCATTGATTAATCTGTAGTTGTTTTCCTCTTTTACTGAGAGCACCAAGAGCTTCTAAAGGTACACTCAGCTGAAATCTCCTGAAAACTTACAGAAATAGTAAACAAGCCTTTTAATTATTGGCCTTTCCCCTCTCTTGTTTGTTTTGCTGTGGGTCAAACTATGAACAAAAATGCAGTCACCAGAAAAAGGCAATAAAAATATACTTTAATGTTAACCCCTCAAGGCAGCTGGGTTTTTTTGAAGGGTACCACGAAATATGAATCTGATAACACACTACTTCATGGTTCAGAGATCAGCATCATACTATTCTGTCAGCACATCATGACAAGTCCCCACTGCAAATCAGATGCATATGCCAAGAAATTCCTGGGCAATTATAGTGATTACTTCCGCCTTGGGAACAAAAGATGTTAATGGAAGAGCTAAAAACCATCAGTGATGTGATAATCATACTTGATTTTCAAAGAGGTTATATTCTAAAGCAGATATAAAGAGTAGCTTCATGACTATTCATCTTTTCCAAAACAGAAAGTACAAGTGATTGTGACTGATCTGAACAATGGATCCTTAACGCCCCAACTCGTGCACTGCAGCACAGCCAGCTTAGCTGTGGAGAAAAAACAGAGCCTCCATAGAAACATGGGCTATTTACAATTTCTCATCAAAAAAGTCATTTGTACACCAACACAAAACGTGCATGCTTGCAGAGTGACAGGGAGATTCAATGGTCTCTCTATATTTTTCTACGAGCCAGAAGAGAGACTACAATTTTAGGGAGAATGAGATTAAACCCATCACTGTACATTCTCTACTATCTGCTGCTACTGTGAGTAAATGAGAATATCACATGTTAAAGACTGAGTGTATTTTGAAATTACTTTGTTGGAATGAAGCTATGCCCAGCATGCTTTGGTGCACATACCAGTGATTAAGAAACCTGAACTCTGGAAGCCAAAACTGGTTTTATTTATAAAAGACTGCCAGGTTTGCAGTTGGAAGTAAGATGCATGATCATTCTCTTCTTTTCAATAAAGAGAAACAGTTCTATCTAAACCATATACATACTGAAAGTATTAATAAATGTGAATATTGTATTTCACTGCTTCGCAGAATGCCATAAGATCATTAAAGTCTTCAGATAGTTTCTTCAGAGAGATCTTACAGAGGTCCTTTGTCCAACAGCAGGAAAAGCTACCACATGTTTATGAATGCATTTTATCTGATTCCATGGAAAGGCAAAGCTTTTTGTCATTGTGGACTGGGAAACGCCCATGAAAATCACAGCTCTTTTTCTGATAAAAACTTCTTGCTGTCTGGAACTACCTAGAGTTGCTTACACCCTAAATGTTCTCCGTTTATCTATATTTTCATTATCAAATTTGTAGAAATCCCCTTAAGCCACTTCCAATATGTTTATCTATCATCTTGAGGAAACTAAGCATAGCAACATCTATCAACACGGCTTTCAAATGGAACTTGCCATACCTGCAATAATTTAGCTCTGATCTGCAGCTCAGTTAGAATCTGAAATATCAGTTTCTTTCCGTTCTGACATGAATATCCAGACAGCTGCAGTATGCTGTGTTCTGAACTCGTGTTAAAGTATAACAAGCTGGCTTTTATGCATAAAATTGTCCCTCATTGCCCCACAGCCCCATTACATTGCTATTTTAATGTACAGCTATTAGATCCATACTTTTAATTCTCCAGGCATCAGGATGCTGGCACGAGCAGTCACTTAGTTGTTTCACATCAGTGAGAAACAAGTCTGCATGTTTTTTTACAAGTCAGAACAAAATCACAACTCCTGAATTTGCAATACACCCAGCAAAGCATCTTGTGAGCCCAAGGCAAGAGGTTCAAGTCTGACAGTCAAATGCAATTGTACCTGTTGACTTTGCCCAAAAGTAGTTCTAGATCTTTGTTTTATCAAGGATGAGAAGTGGTTTCATGGAGCCCCTGCAGAAGCTTTGCCTGAGCACCTTACCTGGAGAGTTCTGAGGTGAAGACACCGGTGAGCCTCGCGGGGACTGGCAATAACTAGGATGAAGTAAGGCATGTGGCGGCACATATGACATGATTTCCTCCTCAAACAAGCTGGCAAAAAGGAGCAAAGAAGAAAGAACATGTTTATTTGAATAAATGGCATGTTTCACTTTCTAGGGATGAATCTCTAGTTATTAACCTGCTTTCTTTAGTAGTCACCTACCTGTTTCCACCGTGCACACTTAGAGTGCTACAAAATATTTTACTGCCATTTCCTCAAGCAGATTTTGAAAGTACTGGAAAGCAGTAACCACTATTTGGGTATTTGTTCTCAAGGTTAAAATACAGTTATTAATCTATGGTTGTGTTCAAGGGTGCCAGGATGAGGGAAGAGACAAGAATCTTGACTCCATGTTTCAGAAGGCTGGTTTATTATATTAAAATATATATATTAAAATGCTATACTATAACTATACTAAAAAGAATAGAGTGAAAAAGATCCATCAGAAGGCTAGAAAGGACAGGAGAGGAATGATAACAGAAGCTTGTGACTCTCAGAGGCTGAAGCAGCTGCATCTTTGACTGGTTATTAAGTAGAAATAACTCACATGAACCAATCAAAGGTGCACCTGTTGGTAAACAATGTCCAAACCACATTCCACAGCCATCAGATAGTTAATTGTTTACATTTCTTTTCTGAGGCTTCTCAGCTAGAATAGGACAAAAATCCTAGCAAAGGATTTTTCATAAAATATCATGGCTACAATCCTTGACCCTGCTCTTTTTTTTTTTAATGTTCTCATTACAAAAGGGTCAATAACCTTATTCAGAAACATTCTAAGCCTCCAGGATTAAGAAGCACAACTGAACTTGTTAAGTGTATTGACTGGTAAGCTTGTTAGCATAACATTTTATGTTTAATAACACTCCTGCTGAAACAGGTATCATATCTAGCATGTTCAAGCTCAGTTACTTCAAGCTTCATCTATTATTGATACACAACTTTTTAAGTGAAAAAACTCAAACTTATTTTCCAGCCTAATCACTGCATCTCTGTGTGTGTATGTATGCATATATATATTAAAATTTCAGTCTTTTCCCTAATTTGACACAAGCAAATCCAAAAAGGGACAGAATATCTAATGTCAGAATGGATCTGGTATCAAAAGGTATTTTGAATGTGAAACATGACACAAATAAACTGCTGCGACAGTATGTAAAAATTACTTTCAAAAATTGAGCTATAGAAAGAACTGAAAGCCAGTCTTATACTATCCAATGCAGTGAAAACAATGTTCAAATAAAAGACGTTTTTTACTAAGTCTCTTCACCAAACAAGTATCTAGACTTTTTTTTATGTAGATTTTTTTTTTAAATGAGTCCTTTCTGCCAGTTCTTCTTACAGTCATGGCCGTGTGATGTTTTCCTCCAAGTTACACTTAACTTTTTTAAACTAAGTTCTTAAAGAAACAGTATTTACATTTCAGAAAGGCCCAAACATCAATTTAAAATGAGATTTTTTCTTAATAGTAATAATTTGGAGATTTGGGGACCAGAAAGGATTATCGTTATGCAACCTGGCCTCAAAATACAACTACTAACGTCAATTCTGTTTCACTAGATTCCATTTTAAAGGTACCCGTGAATTTCTTGATGCACTTTTACAGTGGATGAGAGCACAGTATCAAGATAAAAGGGTTTAATTTTAGCAAAAAATCTGGCTGATTTTTTGAGTTAATAGCTTAAATGAAAACTAGTAAAGAATCAGCTTCCCATTTCCTGATGTCTGTAATAGTGTCTTTACTAAAGGGGACAATGCTTGATAGCACAGTGAAGAGGCAAGAGAGACATTAAGTAATAAAAACACCTCTCAAGTATGTGCCTTTACAAACAGACACCTCCCAAAGCACAGAACTAAACAGATGCAGTCTAAAGGTTGCACAAGGCTCATTGTTGAATAAAGGTCTGAGCTGAACCACCTTTCTAAGCATCAGGGCTGGATACAACAGGACAATTAAAGGTGGTCTGGGCAAACCCATATAAATCACAAGCACAGTGCTCTTGCACTTGCCTTTCATATTCCATTATGCTATGAAAAGTGTGACTTTCAACTACCATCTAGAACTGAACATGAAGAAAATAAAACCTGAGCCCTAAGCTGTAGCTCTCCCAGCCGCAAGTCCAGGGAGTGAAGGGGAAAGGACTGGGAGACACCATCAGCCCACTCTGCTCCCTGAAAGCTCCTGAGCAGCTGCCCCAGCGTGTTCCTCACGTGCATGGGCAGCAGCAGTGCCTACCTGAGTAACATGACAAGGTCTGCATCACTGGATAAACGCACCAGCCCAGGTGTTCCCTCTGTCCGGATGAACTGGATCTTCTCCCTGTGCAAGCAAAAAAAGGCTTTCAAACTACCTTTTGCACATAAGGCATCAATGTGTACCACAGCAACAAGTACAGAGTATATCAGAAATCTCTGGGTTATGGTTTTCCCTACTTTTTTTCCCTGCCAGACCAAGTCCATGTGAGCAGTAAAACACTACAACCAAAAAGCTAACTTGTTCTGAGGAAGGATGCTCACGTTGCCCTCATCTCTTAAATGCTCATGCTCTCGGCAGGTAGTCACCCAAAAAGTAAAAAAAAAAAAAAAAAAAAAAAATTCAATCCCTCAAATTCACACTCAAGTCCATGTCTCTGAATTCAAAGGAGGAGGCTGAAACCTGTAAGAGGACATTCCTACTGCAAAAGTGAACTCTTTAAAGAGTTCACTGTCTCTTCTGAATCTCTGGACAAATGCAAGCCATACATTACAATGCATACTCGTGATTTTAAAGCCAGTGTTTTCATACCACACTGCATTTAAGATATCTTCCAGTAAAAAAACTGTATTATTTATCCCCTCTATTTCATCTAAGCACACACATCCTTTCTCCTAGACCCAGTTTGGTCACTGTTGTGCAATCCACGCATCCTAAGTTCTGAGCATGGTAACACATATAATTTTAGGATCTGTACTGAATATAATTTCTCAGATTCTTATTATTTTTCTCTGCAGAGCCTTTCCCTGCATCCTGAAATACAAGTACATCCTTCATATTTTTTCTTTATCAGCATGATAGTACAGTAGAGATAAATTCTAATTTGGCTTTACACTTCTAGAGGAAAAAGAACCAAGAATCAAACCCATGTAGTAAAACCTAAATCTAGTCCCAAATCAAAAGGAGAAAGCCCCCAAACAAACAGAAAAGACCTCTGAGTGAGAACAGCAGCATTAGCTCATCTCACAGGTCTGTCTACCCCATGTCCTATTACCAACAGTGACAAGAAGGTCAAAAACACTCCATGCAATTGGCAGGCCAGGGACATCCGGACACTTGCAGAGCCCACTTCACTCTACATCAGTGCCCAAATGGCAAGGCTGGAGGAAATAAATGGTGGATTATAAAATATATCTTAGTGTTTGGTTGGTAGCAACACCAGAAACCAGAAGGACATTTTCTGGGTAAACTAACATATGCAGCCTTCCAAATGAATGCAGCCCGTCACTGGGGTTACCAGTGACAGATGTGATTTCAGTGATTTTTTTTTTTTTTAATACATATGCCTTTTACTTTCCATTAAGATATAAATTATATTTAATGTATAGCAGGTGCCTTTGCCTGAAGCCCTTTACATTATCTAGCAGCCTCCCAGATTCACCAGCAGTGGCTCAGAAGATTTAATCTTGGCAACATGCCTAACAAAGACACGATAAGTATAATGTTCCCACTCCACCATGAGACCTGTGAACAGCAACTTTCTACATGTAGTATACTTTCACTTTATATTTTAATACTCTCAACTTCCTATCTCTTCTTTCTCTAAGGTAATATGAAATTATTTTAGACAGAAAATGTCAGAGATCTTTTCAAATTATCTTTGTCCTCTTCCACTGGCCAAATACTGATTTTCCTCCTCACCTAAGTAATAATCACAATAATATTAAAAATAATAATATTTAATATCATCATAATTTCACTTCAACTGCACCAAGGTCCTCAAAGGAAGAGATTTCTGGCAGTTGTACTAATCACTATAAAAAATACACAAAACATTTATACTGAAGGATTTTAGTTAGGTCTTAATTTATCAAGTGTTACGGCAATGTCCATGGAGTTGCTTAGTCTCACAATGTGTCAAATAGACATGGATTCCAATAATTTGCTAAATCAGGGTCTTAAAAGACTAACCAGGAAAAATAAAACTGGGATTTTAATCAGTAACATTTTAATTTTTAATTATACAAATTAAAATGCTACTGAAGCATCAGCTTTAGAAGGATATAGGAGAAGTATAATGGAAGACAATTTACCTTAATCAAATTACTAACTTCAAATACTAAAATTAGAATGGAACCATTCAGCTTAAGAGAATGGCTTTTCTGAGCGATCCCATTCAACGTAAAATAAAATTATGTTCATTAAAATCCCCAATCATTCTGCTGAAGAAAGTCAGTTAAGGCATGTATCTTCAGTCTCCTGAAGTAAATGTACAGAAGGACATATAATCTCAAGCAAATTAGGAGGTACAGAAAATCCTCGGATCTTTCATTTTTAACCTGAAACCCATCTTTTCTTGAGAAAGTCAAGTTTGTGGGAAATTTTGCATCTGTAATCAGGAAGCAAGGTTCTACTAGAAGCAGAATCGGGGAATACCAACAAGCCTTGTGAGCAATTTGAACTCTAATTTGTTAAAAAAACCTACAGCACACACGAAGAAAATTACACAGATTGCTATCACAGTGAAGGAAATAAAGCACCCTGGGAAAAAGAATATGAAGCAATAACACTACAAGCAACCAGAAATTGTTTGTATACTACTTCCCAGCAGATTTCAAACCAAGCCTGGTGGGAAAAACTTGCCTGCAGTGATAGGGGTACAAGTGTTTTGACATACTGAGAACTGAAGATTTCTGCTGTATTTTCTAGAGAGCTTGTATTCTGCCAGTGTGTTCTTTCACGTTTGGCAGGAAGGATTTCTTTAGAAGGTTAACCATGTCTTTAACACAGAAGTCACATCACAAAACTTGTTATACTACACACAGGGAAACTGCAAAACAGGCCAGCTTGTTGAATTTTGGGAACTTGCAGGACACAGAGGAAAAGGGATCAGTAAGTAACACAGAACAGAAGAAAAGTGAGTACCAGTGCTGGCTGCCATGCCGGCCAGCGTGGGTAGGCCTCTGGAACACAGCACTGCAGAGGAGAGGCTGCCAACAATCAAACCAATTTTTTAAATGTAGTGCCCAAGGAAGAACGGATACATTCATTTCAGTTCTGGTCACTACTATCCAAGTTGCTGGTGTTTCCATTTCCAAGTCTAAACATATGAGGGAGTTTCAACAACCACACAACAAAGATCATCTTTCCTCATATCTTGTTGCACTGTGCAAAAATCTGCAGATATCCCATTTTGTAAATTTTGCAGAGACAAAAAATTCTGATTGATGTAAGATTACCTCCAGATCTCATGAGGTCAGGACAGCCTGTCTGTAAATGTGCTTTGGAAAGATAAGGACAAATCCAAATGTCATTCTGCCTCCTGCTCCCAGCTGAATGAATGGGCACATTTGCTGTGCCGTCCAGCTGTCTTGGCACATTAGGAAGACATCAGCAAATCTCTTATGCCAGTTTTCCAAACATTTTCTTGTAGGTACCTTTATTTGATAATTAAACATTACCTATGTACTTCTCAACCCTGTTATAGTAGGCTGTTACACAGAAATAGAGCAAACAACTATTTCCCACAGCTTTATGAATATGTTTGAAGTCACCAGAAGTCTATAATGTGTTATGTTCCACTGCTAATAATTGAAAGTAGGTAATTGTAATTAACTTTTTTTTTATTGAAATGGGAACAGCAAACTTCATTAATTTTCTTACCTGAGTGAATGATTCCTGGTAAGATCTGGTTGGCGCTCTTGTAGAATTTCAAAGATATTGGGCTGCCGCAAAAATGCAACTATCTTGTCATTGTAAGCTGAAAACATTAGCAAAAATATCATGCTGAAACAAGGAGATCCCAAAACAAAGGATGACATTCCTTTTGAGTCTTCAACAATAATGACATACTTCACCTTCACAGTTTTAAATTTAGAAGTATTGGGTTAATACTTTTGTATGTAAGGCCACCAATCCTATTGTCTTTTAAGGAACACACTTATGATTATGAACCAAATCTCACTGTGATATATCCTTTCCACCACTAACAGCTATAATTCTGTTAGCAACCTCTTATATTTTAGCACTCACACTCTTAGCTAAGGTCAAACCAGAATATTTATTGTTAGTATAAAATTGCAGAGACCTTGGTTTTCACTGCATCTATTCTTAAATGTTAAGCAGCCACTGGAAACACCCATATCAAATCCTCAGTAATGGCTGAGCCTGTGAGGCATGCACACCATGTCCATGGCAAGGGGGAGGATTTAAATGGGCAGAGGTTTTCAAGTAAACATGCCACAGTACAAAGAGCCAGTCAGAGTTAATTGGATTAATTTATCTTGATTTAGCACAACGTGACAGCTGTTAGATTTAACAAGCTACATTCTGTGCGTGGTGGCACAGAAGTCAGTAACTCTGTGTGTATGTAACTGAGAACAGAAGTTAAGCTAATGGCTAATTCCAAGCTGATTAACACTTTCTGTAATCCTGCCAAAATAGATGCTCACAAGTTGTGGAACAAAAAAAAAAAAAAAAAAAGAAAAAAAGTCAACAATTCACTGGGAATACATGGAGTCCAATTAGGACCCAATCTGACTCCCTGGTTTAGTTCATCCTGTGAGCACACAGAGTATGTGAGCTAGGAAGGTAAAATACATCACTTATTTGGTTCTGCACACTTCCAGCTCTGAAAGTACCAACTTAACAGGGGGGAAATGCTGATGGACAGAAGGATCACAACAAATGGCAACTTCCAGCCATCCCAAGTGAATGGAAACCCCAGCAGTGCACACTGCCATGACCTCGCAGTGATGGAGAACTCCTCCCAGCAGAGGCTGGATGCTGACATACCCACTGGAACCACATCCTGGTACTGAGCTCTGCTGACTGTGTTAAATGTGCTGGATGGTCTTGGCAAAACGGGGGGTCCTGAATGACGGGAATCCTCTCCAACCTGAAAACATGCAAGCAACCACAGTGAGTGTCTCTGTGCCAGCACAAGCACTCGGGTACAGCAAAGTGAGAATTTATACGGCTTAAAACCAAGCGTGTACATCAAGGCTCTGATTGATCACTATCCCCAGCAACCACTGCAGCAGGAAGCAGCTGTGCTGCTAGGACAGGTACTAGCAAAACATCATTTAGCATACTGGGCCCATTAATAGGAAGAATCAAAACTGATACAAGATTTACTGCTATTTTTAAACAGTACCACTCTGAAAAGAGACCAAAAAATTAAAACTGGGATATCTTTTTTGACTCTGTAATTTAATTTTGTCTTTTGTAATTAATGGACAACTTTATTTATATGAAACATTCTGGAAACCAAATTCTGCTCCTTCATTAGCACCTCTATTACCTCTGTGCATGAATGCAGTTTCCCTAAATTTGAAGTGGAAAAAAGTTTGTGGCTGAAGCCTCAAAGGAGAATAAAGAAGTGAGTTCACATTCAGGCAAGGCAAACGAGTCCAAAATTGGTAAAAACACGGCTCCTAGAATAATTCAGAAACACTGTTCTGTTTTTCCTGTATTCACCTTCTGGACTTAAGAAAATTGCATGTGAACAATTTTTAGGGTAGAACCACAATATAAAATTGTTCTTAGAGGCATTTGTTATGTCAGGGCAACTGCTGCAGTTTACTGCATCATTTTTCAGGTTTCAGACATTTCTTGGTATTCAGTATTTTATCTCTGTAAAACATTTGGTTAACCTCTTTTTCATCCTGCTGGACCTCTTTGTTTACGTCTCCATTTATCTGCCTACATGTAATGGTTACCATTTGAACTGAACTCCCAAGCTTCAAAGATCTATAAAACATCTAACTGCAAAAGATCAAATAATTATAAAAGGTTGCTTTTGATTCCAATCTCTGAAATCACAAAGCAGCAAAAGTCCCAAGATATCTCCCAAGACCTTTTTGCTCCCTCATAATATTCCTTCAGAAAAACGAAGAATTATTTCCCGTTAGGCAATGTGCTGGAAAAGGAATGTCATTATTATTAGCTCCAGCTTCACACTGTAGTTCAGCTTTAGCTAAAAAGGCATTCCTTACACTGGTTCATGTTTGTTTTAGAGCATCTCTGTAAAAACTGGGTCAGTGGCTTCAAAACATCAAAGCTCATGGCAAGTTAAAGCCAAAGAAAGTATTTTGATTTTTTTTTTCATTAAGTATTCATCTCTTGCAATAATGTACAGTTCCTTTATGTAATAGCTTGAAAATAGGAAAAAAATGCAAATATGTAATATGTAATACATAAGCTCCAAAGTGCAGAGGAAAAACTGGTGTTCAGGTTCATACATATGTAAAAAGAACCTCATTGCATCATTAATACTAGAATAGTAATACTGTATTGAATTGCTGTGCTTGAGATTCCTATCTGGAATTATACCTGGAATTCATTCAAGTAACAATTGTAACAATATCAAGGAAACACTTCTAAAATTGCATATAGAAACACAGTTTAAGGAATTTCATGTATCTAGATGGAGTGGGAAATTTTGACAGGTAAGCAGTACTATGTATATGAAATATATATGATCACTTCTTGTTGGATAAACTATACTTGTTTTGCAGCATTGACAACTTCAGGAGCATGGCAGGCACAAATACCTGTTTTAAGTGCAGAACTACTGGATGCTGCTTAAAGAAAGATAATTTGGGTGCATATTGGTTAAAGTCAAGAAAAAAAATTCTGCTCTACTACGAATCAATCAAACAGAAATACTTGCTTTACCTTACTCGAGACCTAAATAGCTATATGAAGGTATATAGCTTCTTGCCTTATACACAACATCACCAAACTGGTGGAAAATTATATTTAAAACCATTTGCAAAATATTCCTGACACTGGAGGGGAGCTGACTAAACCATGTTCACACAGGATGTGACAAGATATGCAGCCAGTACTGTGGCACTCGCTGCAGCTCAGTGGAAGCCCTATTAGAGAAGTGGCAGACAAGATTCATGTTTGCTCTGAAACAGAGGCCTGGCAGACCTTCATCTGCCACAAGACTGAGCTAAGAAAAGGATAAATCAGATCATTCCTCTTGCTATTCTGAATTGCATTATGTTTAATTGCTGGCATGGAATAGCCCTCTCCTGAAATTACAACCTACAGCCAACAGTATGGAGGTTTTTAAATAAAGTATAACTGAAGTCCAAGCCACTGTACATACACAAGGTTACAAGCATAAGTTAGTGACAACAACACTATGGGGACTGCCAGTGAAAATGGTGCACGACAACATAACAACAAAATAGTGTCTTCTATGGGCTTCTGATCAGAAAGTAGAGATTAGACATAAATTCAAAGGCATATAACAGTCTGATAAAGCTGAATGTGTTATGATTTTTTTAACTTCATGGACAAGTTTCAGAACTAGACGTATAGTCATACATGCATTTTTTCTCCCCTCTTATTTTGCACAGTTATGTACAAACACACTCGACCAGACACCATGATAGACAATACACATTTTGTCAGTGAAAGACTGGATACAGCAACCAGTAATCTGTAATCAGATGCTCTCCTGTGGTTAAGTGGGGTTACTGCGAATGCAAAATAAGAAACATTCATGCTTGGTATTTTTCCTCTGAATTCATACATGTCAAAAACAACAACGGCTAGCAGAAAAAATAGTAAATCCTTACAGATGACTGGTGCACTTACAGAAGGATCATGCTCCTCCCCACACGGAATGATGTGAAAAGGGATGGTGGAGCTCCTGAGGAGGAGGCCCAGACCCCACTCACCTCCCCAGCACTGTGGCTGCGCTGCCGAGTCAAGTGCTGCCGATGGACCAGCGCGCTGGTGGGCCTGCTGCTCTGCAAGGGCAGCCGCGGGTCGATGAACGTCGTGGTGCGCGAGTTGTGGTCCACAAAGAAAGCCTGCAGAAGGACACACAAGACAGAATTCATCAACACTTTTTTTATTCATTAAGTCTGAGGTTAATGCTTATTGGGAATCCAGGTTTCATTTGACCAGGTGGGGCTGTGGAAAATCTGTTACTGTGGCTTCCATTTCCTTTCTGCAGAAGGAGGACAACACTTTTCCATCCCAGACAAAGGAATGAACTGTTTAATGCCTTACTTTGTTCGTGTCTATAAAATCCTTTGAAATTCTCACCTGACAAGCATCAGAAGTGGGAAGCTTTATTATGACTGTCAAGAAGAGAAGACTTGAATATTTAATAAAAGTAATCCTGGTGTATTCTCCTTTTCATTCCCTTATAAGCATCTAAAAAGGTGTCATTAAGTGGCAAACCCATTACCTTTTGTGAAGTATTTACCATATAATTATGAATACAATTGGCTGTATGTATGTCAAGTGTATCCCTGCATCCAGTGATGAACTATGATTACAGACCAACAGGCATTTTTGCCATATTTCTGCTACAACTATTCTAAGTCCTCTGACCTTTTTTTCTAAAACCCAAAACAAAATGCAAAAAAAACCCCTAAAGCACCATACCAAACAAAACAAAACAAAACAAAAAGACCTCTGAAAGCCAAAAAGAAAGGTCAACCAACAACACAAAGATGATGGCAACAAAAAAATTTTAATCAGGCAACCAATGAGAACAACCACATACTGGCCAGTCAACCATTTGCTGAAAACAAGGTCACAGGGACATGTATCCTGGAAAATTAAAGCCTCCTAAAATTCTAACCAATTTGAACCAAAAAGGTTCCTAAGCCCTGAAATTTAAACTTTTTGGAGCACCAGTGTTGCACTTGGAAACCAGCACTGTTCTATTTCAACACACTCCACATTTTCTGTCACAATACTGGAAACATGTGGAAGTGGCAAAAAAAAATTCTCAGTTTTGAGCAGCAGAATTACAGGAAAGTGACATCTGGTTCAAGGAATCAAAAAATCTGGACCAGCAGAGTGGTGGTCAGGGACTGTCGTAGCCATTTCTGTGTTTGGCTACCAGTGAGGTACTTTGACCACAATTCCACAAACAATTTATTCCTGTGGTGTCAGCAAAAGAAACATTCTCATCTTTCCCCCTCCTGACCACTTGTTTCATCCCCTGTGTGCCCTTCCTGCCTTGTGCTGGCACAAGTGTTTGTGTAGCCATGCAGTGAACCCATCAGGGGAGCTGGTCCAGGCTAAAATTACTCTTTTTGTCCCTCTCCCTGCTGGCTCCTCTAACCTCAGTCAGCTCACCAGGGGTGAGAGGAGAGGAGAGCATAACCACCTTTCTGGCAGCAACAGCAGCTTCTAGTATTCATGGAATCACTGTTTCAGATTGGGAAAACCAGACCAGAGCAAATGCAATTCTTCTGACTGCTGTGAAGGTAGGTAGACAAACCATGTGTCATACTATACAGCAAGTAAAAGCCATTATGGACTGCAGTGGGAGACAATGTTCATGCTTCCATTTCCCAAGGAAGGAGAAGCATATGGGGAGACACCACAGTTGCAGAACCCTGAAAGTGCTCCAGAAAAGAGCACCAAGCCTCCTATAGCCCCAACAGCAACCACCTGTACCTGTAGCTTGTGCCTACAAGGAATGAATCCCATCACCTGAGCAGTAAGAACTCTGTTCTGACCATCTGACATAGTCACAGATATGCAAGTGAAACTGTTTCACAGCTAAAACACTGTAAAGTTTTTTCAATAAATGAAATTTTAATTGCTACAGCTGAGCCTGATGCAGGACTTATTTACCTTGACAAACAATGACGCCACCCTGCCGTGCAAGCAAACAGATTAGAGATTACAAAACCAGTGAGAAAGAATAAAAACCATAATGAAATTTATATTTGGGGCCTGGAAGATGACTCAAAGTGACTGCTGGAATACAGCCAGTATTTCTGAAAATTTTTCTCCCGACTGGTAAGATCTACCTATTTTACTAGCAAGTTTGGGGGTTTTTTAAGTCCTTCTACCTGTTTTATCTAGTCTGTGTACATTTATAAGATGTAAAGCACTTTCAACAAAACACAGGTTGATTTCATGAAGTCAACACCATACTGTAAATCACTTATTAAAAATTCCTGATTCAATAAAGGAGGTAGTACCCCCTAGAGCTGTACCACTCAGTTCTGATTTAATGCAGCACTCTGGTATTGCATGCAGTGCTCCACAGCATTCTATTTAAGTAACAACTCAGTTTAGACATGAAGATAAAGACAATCCTATCTTATTGAATATGTATGGTTGCAGGCCAGCTCATAGTAGCCTACTTTAAAACAAAGCATAAGTTAGCACTTTGAAGCTTTGGTGAAGATAATCATTGGAGCTTCAATGCTTTGGGCTAATCTGGACACTGGCACACAGCTCAAAATACAGTGTGGCTCACAATCTCCTTTCAAAAAAATTCCTCTCATAACTCCTGCCTACCTATAATCCATAAATCTACAATGCTTGAAGAGACTGACATAAAATAGGTAGTGCCAAAACTATATTTAGCCCATTAAACATGAATAGTTGCCCCAGTTACTCTTCCAGTTAAAATCTATGAAGATTGCTAAAATACCTTTTCTTCCTATTGGAGAGTTCAGTAATCAATTACTATGATTTCTTTAATTGTAGAGAGAAAAACCAAAAATGTGCTCTAATAACTTCCTATGTATTTGCACATCTTGCAGAGACCTAATTAAAAAGCACAAAGACTTGCATCTGGCTTTAAAATACAGACACATGCTTACACACACTGCACAAATGCTTTATCTGTATGCTGTCTGTGTGTGTATGCACATGGACACAGCAAGGCACAGCCCCAAAGCTCAGCTCAGGGGCCTATTAAGCCTGTATAATGCTTCCTGCTACCACATTTCCCAATGGCTTTCTGCCTCCCTGTGGTCACTGACTGATGATGGATCATCTATAATGCCCATTAGAAACTACACCATAGTCACACCAGACCTTTTATGATATTATCTCCTGCAAGGGATACACAGAGGAGCCAAAAAGGAGTGGGCAGCTGGGCTTTGCTGTGCAGCTCTGGAGGGAGTTCAGAGGTGGGCAGTCCCCAGCTGACCTTGGAAGACAGCCCACAAAGAGGACAGGCAAGCAGCACCACACTGCCACGGGGGAATGAAAACACCACTACTCAGCATTGTGCCAGGGCCAGAACCACCGCTGTGCCTCGTGAGAAAGAGCACCAAGCCCTCACTGTGATATACTTGAAAAAATAAAGGAAAACCTCTTCTCAGCAGGGAAGAGTAGTTAAGGAAAGGAAACATAATTATATAATGTGTTATGGCTAAGTTCTACTCGCTTCTCTTTAGGTTTATGCTTTAATAAAGGCAGGTCCAGTTTCAGTTTGGTCTCCCCAAGCACTGCTCTTGCCATGTACTGGCCATGGTCTCTCTCGAGTGCTGAATAGGCTTTTCCACTGCCCACAAGTGGCACTTGTGACACAGACAATTCAACATGGTGAAAATGAGCAACACTAAGACTAATTCAAAGTGAAGAAATCCCAGTAGGAAATTATTCAGTGCTTCCTCTCCTTGATTAATATTGTGGTAGCATTGCTGTTACCAAACAACAACTCAGAAATCCAAAGGTCTAATTCTCTCTATGGGGCACTTATTAAAGAAAATTGAAAATTGCTCGATTCTTCAGGAGAAAACTGACCTCTGAAGAACTTAACAGAACAAGAATGACTTAAAACAGAAAACAGTGAGGCAAAGAACAACGTTAGTAGAATTACACATTCCTAATTCTGTCTAACAAAAAACCAAAGTGCTTTACAGAGTTAAAAAAATCTAGGAAGCAACCCTCAAGTACTTTTACCCTTCAGTTTAGAATTGTCTAATCTTTCCAAGCATCAAGATCATTATTTATATGGACTCTCACAGCTAACCACATTGAGAGTGATAAATGTAAGAACCAAGAAGCTAAATTTGCCAGTAATCCTAATAAACTGATAAGCCTTATCACTTTCTCACATACTAATCACAGTCTATTTTTAACCCTCCTGTTTTCTACACAAAATATAATGTTCCAGATACTGAGGATGCACTAGCTTAAAGTTACATTAAAACTTACATCACAACTGTAAAAGTGACATCAGAATATTTTTTTAGGAAATTGAAAATTGATACTTATTTTAAAAAATCAGCGAGACTTTCAAGTATTTAAGATCTCTAATACCTCTTAAGGAAACCTACTCCATACCATCTCTTTCCAAGCAATACACAACCACCAGAGTGATCCTCCTGGGAGCTGTCACAGACCATGCTTTTTACCTCAGATACATCATTTGATCTCAGAAACTGATGAACACAAGGCCTTCTTAGCCCTGTGGAGTTACCTTGCCCTGATGGTCGTGTTTCATCTCCCAGCCCCTGGGCAGCTCCAGCTGTTTGTTGGCAAACATGTTGAGGAAGCCCACCAGATCCCGGTTGTGCTGGTAGCGCTCAAAGTGGTGGGTGTCCCGCCGGACTTTGGTGATCATGTGCTTCAGACACGTGTTGTTTGTAAACATGCGGTAGGCACTCTGAGAAACACACAACAGCAAAGGCTTTTCAAAGAGATTACTGCTCTGGCCACAAAAGACAAGCCTGTGCATTGTAAGTGGGCCTGCAGAAGAAAAGTTACTCCTTCCATTGCTGCTTCTTACACTATAAATCCCAATACACAAAGAAACACTGAGGGGGGAATCTATGCAAAAAGAAGCACTGAAGAACAGGCAAAAAAGGAAAATATATATATTAATAGGGTTTTGTATGACCTCTAATATACTTTGATATAAACCGGGCAATCTGGGGGAAACAAATATTGCCATTAAGCAGCAAGGTCTTTCCCCGAATTGTGTCTCACCCTGTGCAAAGCACAGTAAGAAAGCTATTGCTTCCATAAACAAATAATTTTGCATCATAAGAAAGATGAAGAATCGAGTGGAAAATAAAAATTGCTATCATGCAGAGCTGTGATGGCCCTGATAGCCCAATAATTTCTGTGGATAATGATGAGTGAATCTAGCCTCCCTATGTACTACCAATATCTTATCATCAAACACTGAGCAGTGTTTTTGTACACAAAACAACTGCATTTATAAGCATGTATTTATGAAAGCCTTTGAGCTGTAGCCACCATACTCACAGGGTTAGAATGCAGCACTGTAAAGAACTCTGGGCTGATAAGGAATTTCACAGGGGGAGACTGGAGCAATAAAGTAAGTCTGGATCTGGAGGTAGAGTGAGGGAGCACATTCTCTCTTCGAAAATCTAAGAGCAAAGTAAATGTCAAAGACTTCCAGCAGTTATTACCAAAGCATCCCTGCAAAAAACTATATTGATGTGAATCACACAAGCAAGGAAAGCATTAAGTAGACAACTATTGCAGATTTACTGAGGATTGTCCACATAAGTGTACCCAAATTTCTTCTAACATAACACTGAAGTTTCTGAAAATATTACAATCTTAGTTTCGTAACATTTACCTGTGGCTTTCAGCAAACAACCATTAAAAAAAAAAATCACGTTCCATTATTTGGGTTACCAAGTTTGTCCTTCTATATAAGATGCAATAAAGTCTCCTGGGCACGTCTGCACTGCTATACTGTAGCTGTATGCAGGTAAGTAATTTTTTAAATGCTAACTAATGGATATAAAAGTCATGGTACACTTATAAATACTTCATTCCTTCTTAAAAAACAAACAATAAATCTGCCATTACCACAGCCCCAGTCTTGATACAGTATTGAAGCAGCTTATGTAAGTAAGAAGTAGGTTGCTAAGGAAGTACCTTTCAAGTTTCAACTTCCAATAAACATTTGTGTCTTCTCCTAGCAACTACAGAAGCGCCCTGAGTTTTCTTCAGTACCAGGAAGGAAGTGAAAAATATTGAGTGGTGTTTGCTACAATGTGAACACTGTTGCCCCCAATTCTCTTTGAGGACACTTGGAAGCGTATTTTTAATGTAAATGAAAAACTGCAAGTTCAGATTTGGTCTTCAGTGATGCTACACTAAAATGTGTGCTGCCATGTATATTTCATTTTCCTTCTTTTTTACATGTTGCAGTATGTGCACACTTCTCCATCAAATGAATATTTATCATGTAGACCACAGCTATCACAGATATAAAAGATCATAACACACAAGCAGAGCAAGGAGAAAGGTAGTAAATGAGACTCTAAACTGAGAGAAAAGTAAGAAGGTATAACAAAAGAAGAGGCAAATAACAAAGGTAAAATTCAAAGTAAAGGGAATGGAGAAAATAAAACACATTAGAGGAAACTAGGAAGTGTTAGGGAAACTGGTAAAATAAATAAACAAGAGGACTTTTACAAACACTACTTAAACAATAGACCTCAAGCTGTCCCACACAGAACACATAATGAACAGGGCAGAGTGGCACAAAGGCTCCTGAAGCTGTGCCTGAATACTTGGGCTGGGAGTGTCTTGCAGACACTCACTGAAGTTTTATGTGAACTCTGTACTAGTACAAAACTTGGGTGTACACCAGGCAGCTCTCACTCTCTGGAAGATGCTGTGACACGTAGCAGCTAAGTCCTCTGTCACAGCCTGGGCAATCTGGAAACCAGAATGGGTCACCAGGTGGGTTTTTATTGCAATTTGAGGCTTATGAGTTTGGTTTATGAGAAGTTTATTCAGCTGAATTTGCTTAACACTGACTTGTGTACAGCACAAACCATCTGGCTGCACATGCACAAAGGTAGAAAAGGAAACAGCTACAACAGAAGTGAAGACTACAAGTAATAAAAGGGAACACTTGGGTAAATCTCAAATTCTACAATGACTTGAAACTCAAAAAAGGGTGACACTGCTTGCACATCAGTTTAATTTAGGAGAGACTTTTAAAAGAGTACATCAAGAGCATCCAGAGACAAAGCCAAAGCACACGACACCACACAGCTGTGCAAGGAACTGGATGGATAAAAAACTTTATAAACGTGTTAGTAAATTTTTAGTAGGAAGATGACCAAGGAGGGAACTGTTTAGTGAAAAGAAAAAAGTAATGATGTTCAGAACCCTAAACAAAAGGTCTCTCTTCCTTTATTCGTTCCGAAGGTTAACACTGGACAGACTATCAGAAGAATGAAAAAACAGAGGTGAGAGAGAGCAGGTTAAAGATCATGGTGCAAATGAAAGGTTTTCAAAGCCTTTAGGTCAGGTGACATGCACTCCAACAGTTAGGAAATAAGGTGGAGTAATCGCTGAGACATTGGTGGCTCTTTCAGAGGTCTGAAGGAGTTCTCAGAAGGAATGGGATAATGCTGTAAGAGTACACTAAGATGTTTTACTAAGATCTCTCTGGCTCTGGTCCTACTCATTATTTCTACTAATGACTGGATAGGGAAGACAAAACTTGCACCAATTAGGAGATTCTGCAGTACTTGGACAGCAGAATGGACAAGATTCAAAACCACAGGGGCACATCAGAAAAGCATAAAGATCTGTGTGCAGGTAAGGATAATCAACTCACAAAGACCAGATGAAAGTGCCAAGGTTCTGCACACAAGGATCAGGACTTGATTTTAGCAGATCAAGGACACTGGTTAGTGTCAAACTATTGAAAAGAAAACAAACAAACAAACAAACACCAAACCAAAACAAACAAAACAAAACCTTCTGCAGTAACGTACAAGGAGTGTTTTATGTAAGACACTTCCACAACCTCTTCAGTACAGCAGAGTCATAGCTTTATTTGATTTTCTGAAATTTTTCTTAAAAGCTGAAGACCAACTCCAGACAATCCTGAGTAGGCCAAAAAACTAATTTGAGACCTAAACCCAGAAGTCACGAGGAAAGACTAGGAAGCAATGGATTTAAGGGTATATTATAAGAAGAATAATGAGAAGACTGTCTAAAAAAGTTAAAGAATGTCCCTCAAGCGGAGAATATAAGAACTCATGAGACAGCATTTGGCAAGCATGGCCTAGGAACAGCTCATCCAATCTATCTAGAGATGTAGTCAAATGACTGCCTGAAGCCTGTTCTAGTTCTACATTCTACTATTTCAAACTTCATTAGCAGAGTCAAAATATTTGTAAGCCAGACCATGCAATTTTATATTTTTTTCACTGCAAGTCTCCTGCTCTCTAAACCAGTCTGGTACTGACAGAAAAGTGCTCTGAATTTCACCATCTTCTCTTCAGAATATTGAGCAGGCTGAGTCATAACCTTCAAAACTAGACAGCATTGAAAACAAATGGCTTAATTTTCACACAGATCTTCAGAGGAAGAAGTTAGGGTTTGCCTTATGTACTCTCACTAAATCATCTACGAGATAAGTGCTCCCTTCCTTGGAGAAGGGGTAAAAAATTAATTTTTTTTAACCTGAATTAGAATGGTGAAATTCAGCTTCCTCTGCAGCTCCATCCACGGCATTTGTGTGCTCTTCAGGCCTGTCATTTGTCATTGTTCTTCGGATGCTCTGGTACCTAGGATTGGAAAACTGGACTTTACATATAGTATATGGTAACAATGACCCAATTCTGGCTCCAAGGTAGCCTGCCCATATTTTCTGCCATATAGGTTAATATATATTGACCTCTGATTTCTGCATTAATAGCCTTTTGAATTTCTGACAACCATCATCAGATGTATTATTTTTGGTCACATAGCTTAAGATCACAGGTGGAACACAAAAGTCCTGGAAACTCAAATGCAAACTAAAAGCAACAGCCACACAAAAATAACCACCTAAGGCCAGCAGTGGGAGCAGCCGTGGCCTTGTCTCCACGCACAGTCTTGCAATGGTCAATGCAAGCACACACAGCTCACAAGCACCAAGGGTGACTCTTACCGGCGGTTCAGCTGCTCCATCTGCTGTATGGAGTTGGACCTCTGCAGAATCTGTGGGGCTGGGGGAGCTGTGGGTCGCTGCCATGTTGTTGTCCTGTTCACGTGGTCCACGTAAAAAATGCGTCCGTGGCTGTCAATTCGAGCCTCCCAGTCTAAGGAGCAATAAAATCCTGTCAGCTATGGAGGGCTTGGGGCTTATTCATTGATTTGTTTGAGCTCTGTCACTTTTATAAACCCATCTATCGTCTCTATAATAATAATTGCTACTACAACATAGACATATACCTGTGTATATAAAAAAATATACATCTATACAGAAACAGACATGCCTGATTCTTAGACACCTGCAACTACAGAAAACATGCAAACCATTTAGCACATCAGTTGAAAAACAGTCTTTGAGAGATCAGCAGGTGTCTAGATGAGACTGTCTATATTGCAAGTCTAAGTGAAAGTAGTATCTGATGACAAAATAAAAACCCTCAAGTTTTTAAACCAGAGTTTGTAAACAAGTATTCCAGGAAGAACAGAACTGTTCATTGGGAAAAAAAACCCAAACAACAAAAAAAACCCAAAAATCCTTCAAACAGTTCACATTTGTGAATTCATTATCCTGCTTAATTGTCAAGCCCCAAATCACTGTATAATAAATTGGGATTTTTCTTGTCATCTTTATGCCCACTTCTGACAGTCACCATTTCTGTGACATGCTCTTGCAGAGAAAAAAACATTTTATCCTGCATTTAATTTTAAATACATTTAAAATTTTATCCTGCATTTAATTTTAAACACTTGAGCAATGGCTTCCAAAGTAAAGCATGTGCATCAGTATTGTGGTTGACAAGGCTGTCTTCTGCTGTGTTCCTATATAAGGCTATATTCCATCAAATCACTTAGTCAAATGTGTTATAAATAGCTCGTTGAAGCTATTGCAAAACTGTCATTCATCAAGGTTTCATGGTCAAGCTCTATTAATTTTTTTCCAAGGAATGTAGGAACTGGAGCACAACAACATAATTGTTGCACATAATAGGCAGAAATAAAAGATAAATGTTTAAATTCTTTCTCTTGTTCTTTAACTTGAACTAACACAAGACTGAAAGAAATACACAGATTTTTCTTCCTTACTTTGAAATTTTGGTGAAACAACAAATTGAATATAATCCAAATTAAAAAGAAACTACAATTTACAGCTCAAAATCATATTCTTAATATTTTCTCTAATTTTTCAGTATTAAAATATTAAATCTCACATATCTGCAAGCAGAGGTTTGAACTAAAAAAACTGAATCTAGGCAATGATTAGTAGACTTTATATTAGCAAATTATTTATTTACACAGATATTGTATTGGGCTATGACTGTAAAGGGGTGATGTGTACATGCATCATGACATGCATGACTATGCAGAAACACAGCAAATGGCAGAAATGTTAAAATACTACACAGCCAAAGCTTTTTCCACTAATATTTCACCAGTTTTTCCAAGTAGTTATTGTATAGTTTTCTTCTGAAACCACAGAACTGGACCAGCTATCTCTGTGCATTTCCTAAATATTTGTCTCCCAGACACAGTTTGGTAAAATGCAGAACTGGTATAATAGGGCGGCAGTTAACTCGAAGATCTGCACACAGGATTAATCTGATTATAACATAACCAGCAAGGGAGCACAACCATATCATCATCCTGGCCTTGCACACCCAGTTCCATCCATGTTCTGCTATCAGGCTCCTTCCAGTTACTTGCTCCAGTTACAGAGCAAAGTCCCATACCGTACTGGGAAATAGGGATCTGTTCATTTTACAGTAAATATCTTAATTCCTGACTCCTTTAAAGTAACAGAGCTTTGCCACAGACTTCAGTGGGTCTGAATTTACTTTTTTTTTTTGCATATTTGTTTTAAAGCAATGTTTTATGAGTTGTGTAGCTTTTCTTTGGGGGGAGGGGGGTCTTTTCTTTGAATACCTAACATAGAATAGATTTTCACTTCTCAAAGTTTAAGCACATTAATGAATTCAGTAATTGAGAGCAATTTTTTTTCATATGCATTAGAGAAATTACAATTCATTTGTTCATTAAGGCTCATCTAACTTGCTTAATGTCCAGGTTTATTTTAATATAAAATCTTCACTCTGCCTTGAAAAATGCAAGGAAAGCACAGACACCTGTAAGTTAATCTGCAGATATGGAAGATGTATATTCCTTTGTAAATCATTACCACACAAGCAGCATTCAGAGATTTCAGAGTGCTTGACAGCTCACAGTGCCTCACAAGCACCATCACCTCATCTCCCTGCCCCTGTGCACTGCACACAGGAAAGGCAGCACTGTCTCTGCATGAGTGACACTCAGCAAGTCTGTGTGCACCAGGTGTAACTATCACAGCAACACACCGGACCCAACCATCATCACTCCTCACTTCCAACTTCTCAGCTGCTCATTCTCAGTTCTACCATCCAAAAAAGGAAATGTAATGAACTCTCAGTGAAGAGCCACAGGCAGCTTATTCCCCAGTTAAAGTATGGAGAAGCTCACTTGGTGGCAGGGCCTCGTCCACTCTCTGGTACCGGCTAACGTCCTGACGCACCGAAGGCAGGGACCTCAAGGGCTGATGGCCATTAGCAGGAGAACCTGGAATCAAAACACACACACACATATTTCTTTTTTCAGTCAGTGTGGGGAAGCCCTAGAGTTGCCTCTAAACTGAGCAAGCTGTGTTAAAGCTTCTGCAGGACTATGATATTTCAGGATATATCTAACAGTCATCTTTTCTTGGGGTCAAAATAAGTTATGCTGACAGTTCTAGGCAAGTGATCCTCTGGATGTCCTGGTCCTGGAAACACCACCTCTGGGATGTGCTGCATCCCTCTGTGAGCAGCCAAAGTCAGGGCATGGAAACAACCTGTGCCTGAGCCATATCCCAGGACAAAGCTCCACCTGGACTCAGAAACCTTAAGAGTGGGAAGTGGAACTGTCCATTGTCCCTCCTTGCTGCGGCCAAACTGATCTGCAAAGCATGATGCAACCTGACACCTAACAAAGAGCATCCCAAATGTCTAGAAAATGCTGTAAAACATTGACAGTATTTGAAATAAACACCAAAATTATTATTTCCAGTCAACAACCTGTTTATGAAGGAAATTACTGCTTATATATAGCTCTTGGTATGTTATGAAAAAGATGCATTTGGAAACCCAGTTGACTGGATACACTTCAGGCCCTGAAAAAACTGAACAGATTCCATTATTAAAGTTGCTTGGAAACAATTCATTAGGGACACATTTCTACTTTCAGTGATTTTAGCGAGACAGAAAATTCTCAACTGTTAAAATAATTTAAAAATCAATAAGCGTTTTACAATGTTAACTTAGGTGCCACATTTCTCTCTTGCCAAGGCTGCAGTGTGCTAGGATCCATCTGTACAGAGAACGAATTGGGAAAAGGAAAATAAAGAGCCTGAAGTTGACAAAATATGGTTATTTTTCCTTTCCCCTTTCTTTTTATTACCCTTGTGTTTTAATGCTAATATAAAACATCTAAAAGAAAAGAGCACAATAGAAATTCTATTTTGCATTTCATACTTTTGGGGAGTTTTGTCCTTCATTACCATTTTCATTAGTGAATAGGGTAATACTGTGGAATTCTTTCCTTCTCTTCATCCTCCTCACTACTCCCTCAAGAACTAAAATACATGCAATTTTAAAGTAAACACATTTTGGATATTTCAGGTTTGGATTTTTCATTAAACCAAAAAAACGCAAGAGTCTCTTGAAGAAAGAAATAAATTCAAAGCAACAACAAAAAATCCTGAAAGACAACGAAATTGAGAAATCAACGATCTTTGTTTTCAGGTGCAGAAAGGTCACTCCAGAAAGTGCCTCCCGCAGGTGTTACCTCCAGTAGCTCCTTCAAGCTGCGCTGTGGCACCCTCACAAGCTGCCTGCGCTCCCTCAGTTTCTTCATCCTGAGACTGGCTCTGGGCAGCTGCTGCCTGCAGGCTTCTTCTTCTTTGCCAGATTTCTTCTGCTTCCTCTTGGTCTTGCAGTTCCCCCGCCTCAGCCTCCTGCGCCTCCTCCCGAGGTAACTGCACCGCCGGCAGGGAACCAGCGGCGCTCGCAGGCTCCTGCGCCCCGGCACCCGGCTCCGCCGCAGCTGCCTCGGCGGCACAGGCTCCCTCCTCCTCCTCCTCCTCCTGGGGAGAGAAGGCTGGAGTCTCGGGAAACCTGGCGCTCTCACAGGAGGAGCAGCGCATCTCCACGGAGGAGCGCCGCACCGTCGCGCTCTCGTTGCAGGAGCTGTCGGCCCCCTCGGCGTCGCTCTCGCCCTCGGGCCGGGTGCTGGCCTCGCTGACGCTCTCGGTGCGAGCCGGGTCGCTCTGCTCCGTCTCTGACGACAGCTGGGAAGGCTCCGAGCCTTGGTCAGTGGACTCCGTTTCGCTGACGCCCCTTCTGCTCCCACCTGCAGCTTCAGCAGCTCCCGAGTCTGCACTGCCGGGAGGCTGCTCTGCCTCCGGAGGGGCAGAGGACTCGCTGCCAGCCTGCTCTGCTGTGCCTTCAGCCTGAGAGCCCTGCAGGCTTTCGCCTCCTTCCTCTGCAGGTGGAAGCTCTGGGGGAGAATCTTGCTGGTCATCAGCTGATGGCAAAGGAGCATCAGAGGCCGAAACCCTTTCATTCTCGGCAGGACCCGGCATTACCTGATCTGATGAGGAACTTACTTCATTTCTTTCAACGTTTCTGGTAGCACCATTTAGCATTACTAAACCACCATCATCTTCCAAAGAAGATGGAAAACCAAGGTCTTGATGCAGCTCGTGCTCCTCTTCATCCGAGTCAATGTGAAGCATAGCATTAAGTCTTGTGTCAGTAGGGAAGCTACTCCTCAGTTTTGGGGAGGCTCCTCGTGGACGGTCACCACAGGCAGATGTCCCTGGCCTGGGATGGTTATTGTGTTCTATTGCATCGAGATAGTCATTTAGTGAGTCCTGGCGACCTCTGGGAGGGGATGATCTTGAACCACCAGAGGTCAGCTCATCCTGGTCTGTCTCCAGAGTCCTACTAGTCCTTAAAGAATGTCTCAGGATTGTGTCTCCAGAAGACTCCTCAAAGACTGGGCCATTGGAACACACAGTGGATGTATCGTGATGTCCTGCTGGCATGTCCTCATCATCAGAGGGGCTCCCCAAGTCTCCATTTACAGAGTTGGTTCCTAGCAAAGTCCCAACTGTTTCTGGTGAAGCATCTGCAGACAGAAAGACTGAAGGTGAAACACAGAGCAGCAAGAACACATAGTTCATTCTACTCAAATTATATAAAAATACACATTCTTGAAGACGCTTGCTTCAATCAGAAAACTAAGGGAAGAAACTTCAATCAAAGTAACAGAGGCATCTACAGTGTTGGAACAGCAGTTACAGAACTGTCTCTGTATAACTAAGGGAAGAAACTTCAATCAAAGTAACAGAGGCATCTACAGTGTTGGACAGCAGTTACAGAACTGTCTCTGTATGTCTATATACTGTTTTGTAGGATATAGAAAAATTAAGAGGTGTGCAGTATGACTTTAAATTATTACCATTTTGCTTGCAAAAAACAGAGCATTGCCAAGCATAGCATGAGAATCATAAGCAGATTCATTTAGAATCTATCCAAGAAAATCAAAAACAATATGCTAAGTGTTGGTGGTTCTGGAACTGCCATCTCCAAGACAGCACCTGCCATATCTAAATTTTGAATCCTAATAGAAAAAACCTGTAGTAGGGGAACTATATACGAATGAGAAAGTATATTATGTCCTCAACAACAGGAAAGCCTAGACATGGAAATACAAAGAAACTCTCTCCATACAACTATCTGGAGATCCAAATAATTGACAAATTCTCACCTTCATGAACAGAAGATGTGATTTCCACTTTGAATTGGAGATACCCACTAACATGATCAGCTGGGAGCCTTCTGCCAAGATTATAGCTGAGAACCTGGTCTCTGCAAAATCAAAAATATGGGATTTTTAAAATTTTTGCTGGCTTCATGTTTTCAGTATTTAATTCCTATTATGGTCTTAAAATCGGCCACATACTCCGGCTTGCATGGAAAAGCACAAACACCAACAATGGTATAAAATACCTTTTGGTAACAGATAAAGCAGCCTAAAAAACTATGTTTGATCAATTCCAAATACAGATTGTGCCCCACCAATTCCTATACAACCCTACATGTAAGTTCTAAAGAAATCAAACTACAAAGATCCCTCTCTCCTAACCTCCTCCTATCCCCAACACAGTGTTTTATAATTAACAAAACCCTTCTGCCCCCTTGTGGTTTTTACTATGTGCAAAACATAGTAAAACATTTTTCACATTCAGCGAAGCACTTCTGCATAGTAGAAAATTAATGCTTGAATTAATCTTTAAATACATTCTTAAGAGTTACAGAATTCAGTGGGGCTCAGACTAGATTAGACACTTGTATCAGCTTGAGACTTCGGATCAGATCCCAGGCTGTACATTTTTATTAAGGTAAAGCCTGAAATCACAGCCCCAGATCCCCCCAGCACAGCTGGGACAGCTGCAAGAAGAAGAGGGAGCTCCTAAAGACCTCCACAGGAAATTATTGTTATTTATATAAAGAACTTGATACTGGTATAACACCTCTCCTTTACTTGGGAGCACTCCTACCGTAAAATAAAACAAATGCAGCTATTACTGAAATAAGCTGCAACAGTTTGCATAAACTTTTAGGGGGAAAAAAAAGCCCTCAGTGGACAAGCAGCCTCCCTTCTCCAAGCTGCTCTACAGTCCACAGGATACCAGATCTCTGCAGCAGCTTCTCCAGGACCTGTCACAGATTCCTCACTCTGTACTCCAAGTGCAAGTCATCCATTAGACATCTGAGGTTTCCAGTTTTTACATAAGTTTTATATTACTCCAAGCCATTCAAGAATAGAGGAAGCCATGTCATGAATAATGTCTTCTCTATATTCAGCTGAATCAGTTCTAGATGATTCTCATGCTCATTTATCCTGTTTTCCAGAAAATTAAAAGCCACTGGTCGTTTCGTTACACAAACTTGTGAGCTCTGACTACAGCTAAAACTGGAGTAGAATTTATCTAAAAGTGGCTGGCTCTGGATTTCATCTTTTAATTCCTTAAGAATCATCCTTGACATCACCAAAATGATGGTGTTATACTTGCTTGACAAAAAAAAATTCAAGAGCATTAGCAGTTATAATTGTGTATTTAGTACATTTCTACTTCACATCTACATTAAACACTAGTTTACTTTGCAAAATCTTTGGTGAAATACTGTCTGTCTTTACACAAAAACGGCCAGGTATACTACGGAAGAAGAGGCAAAAGATTTAATGTCAGTTCTAACAAAGGTACAGTAAACCAACCAAATACCCATATTCTTAATACATATTTCTTATACTGCCTCTCCTTTCCTAAAAATATTTGATATATCAAATATACATAACTGAAATTCAGAGAAAAGAGCAATGTCTTCCAGATTAATGGTTTGAAAAAACAGAGGTGAGAACTGATGAACACAGCAAACTGGTGATTTCCACAAATCACAGCACTAGGAATCCCAGAGCAGAAAAACATTTTGCTGTTTAGCAAGGAAATACACACCCTGCACTAGGTTTTAAAACCAGCCTGGATCATGGTGTTATTTTTGAATGTACAGGAGTGTGCAAATTTATTAGAAAAAGCTGCTTGTTCAACCAAACAGTATGTTGAAGCTCAATGTGAGGCACTTCTTAGAAAAGTTGTATTGTGTATATACCTGTACTGTTCTTGGATACCACTACAAAACAAATGGACAGGCTTTTTAAAAATATGTTTTTAATAAATTCTGTGTCAGAAGGTATTATCAAAATCTTAAGCTACTCTTACAATTTTATTCTTCCTTTACTTAGCAGTGTAGACAACACTTTGAAAACGTAAAGCTGAAAACTGTTTTCAAATTGAATTTGATTTTCTCCCCCTATGCAACTTGTTACTTTCAGGGGAGTATCTGTGGAAAAGGAGGCCAGTTTGTATAACTGTGATGACACTGCCATGCCCTTAAGCTTTAAAGCAGAAAATATGCATTTAATTTCACCATGATTCCTCATGGGCCTAATCCTGTGGCTTTTTAAAGTCAATGAAGACACTAACTTATCAAACTTTGAGGCAGGGCCTTTAAAAATGGCATGCACAACAGGTGAATTTTGAGTCCCATCACTGAGCTACTCATAACAACAGGCAATTTTAATTGTGTAGTACTAGAAGCACTCTGAAAAATAAGGAGTCACAGCCTTGCAGTTCTGGCCAATTCACTGAGGGTATATTACATGTCTGATTAGGGAACTGACAATTAAAAAGACTGCAGCTATACAAGAAGTCAGTCAATTATACCTGCTTGTTCTAAATAATTTGCACACAACCACGTAACACTATGAAAATGCCTTGTTTCTTTACTAGCTAGCCAGAGGGTAACGTTTCTTGGGAATAGCATTTTTTATGTAAAGAAATCAGGCTGAAAGAAAAAGACACACATCAACACAAACATGGGTACATATATTCAGGACAGGGCTAGAAACATTGCCATTTTCCAGTCACTCCATAAAGCTATTAAAATTACAATGTATTTCTTAGTACAGATGCAGTAAAAATTTGCTGGTCTCTACCAGAAAGCCAGAAAGGCTGCTCTTTGCTCTCAGTATCCTAGAGGCTGAGTCCTCCTGCTGAACACAAGTTAGCATTAAGAATGTATTCATTTACCCAATTGCATGTCTCTCCAAAAGTCTCTGAACGGGTATGGTTAACTTCCCAAGGAAGCGCTTGATGATCGGACGACTCTTGGCAAATTTGTCTTTAACCTCAATTTCCAGGACATCTGTTAGAAGTGCAACAAAAGAATATTTCTGGAAGGAAAGAACATATTTGACACCATATCAATACACCTTTATTCAGAAAGAATGTACTTAATTACTATTAATGTGCAGTGAACTTCAAAAGTAATGACTGATGACAGCAGTTTCCACAAGGCAAAATAATGTCAACATCATTTATTAAAGAATTGTTGCATATGTAACTAGCTTTTTACTCTTCCCCATTCCCTTTCACAGTTCCTTGAAAAGAATTGCTCAGTAAGAAACTCCACTGAATAAAGGCACTTTCAGTGTCTATGTCAGAAAGTAGAACGCCATGTATCCTACTGCTTGCTTCTATTTGCATAGGGGAAAGCAAAAAGAGAAGAAATCCTGGCTGTACCCTGTCAGGTCCATGCAGGAGGAAGGAAGTAAGTGTCTCACTCCAGGCTGTGCTCAGAAGAATTTTCCTCCAAAACCATGCCTGGCATTCATGTTTTGTATGCCTGACAGGAAGTCAAAAGGGCAATGTGTATACAGTACATTCAGGAGCAGCACTACTAGAGAAGGAGTCTTGCCCCAACATTGACAAATCTTCCCAGCAAACTCCAAGAGAACCTTTTCCAGCACTTGGGGTCTTTAAACAATATGGTGCTACTTTACAGAAGATTTCTTAATGTCTGGTAAAATAATTTTTCCACCTTTCCCTACATGGGAACATTAACACAGTTACTCTTTTCAGCTTTCATTTTCATGCATTTTGTGAGTACTTCATCTCTTAGACCTGTAGTTCTCTGTCAAGTCTGCCCAAAGATGGCTAAAAGATTCAAAAGTGGTACAGAGCAAATGTTAAGCAAGCACGTTGGCAGACACACACATATACATATAGTGTGATGATAAATTCCCTTAGGAAAACAAGTTTAAGAACCCAAAATTTGTATTTGTCATCTAGATTTTACAACATTCCAAATAAGTGAGCAAAGTATGGCATAACCTACTCAGAAAAAACAAGGTCATCTGTTTATTCTTTTACTATCTGCCACCTTTATGACCTCTGAGCAAACCACCTGTGCACAATGCCTAATACACATGTATTGGTTAGGTAGCCAAAGATATATTGAACAATGAACAATAGGAGAAACAGTTCTTCACTTCAGCTGTAGGCATCAGATAAACTCTGCAAAAAAAACCAATTAAACTGGGTCAGGAATAAAATACCTTCCTCATGCTGAGTAACTGTCACAACTGGGTTCCTCTGATAAACAGAACTTAAAAATGTGTCACACTCAGTTTGCTATAATATTGCAAATTACTTTGCAGAAAGTATTAGGTGTAAAACAGGATCAATCCTGCACCACTAGGACAGAATACGTAATGGGATCATAACTGCTGTTGTCAGAGCATTGCTAAAGGGAAGATCCAGCAGCTAAAGCAAGCTAATACAATGTGTGCACCAGTGAACATTATCTCTTTTCTAATAAGCTTCAAAGCCAAGGAGAACTGGAGGAGGACAAAAAAGGGGAGAATAAAAAGAGTAAATTTTCTTTCTAGCTTCTGGATAGATGGACAGACAGACTGAAAGCTGAAGAGTCAGTGTAGAGATGCGAACTTTGTTTTTTTAAAAGATTTTAGGACTATTCACATCTACAGTCTTTCCCACAACCAAGCACCCCAGGGCAGTGCTAATGCTGGCCCTGCTCAGTTCTGCTTTACTGCTTGTTTGCTTTATGATTTGTGGAAACATTTCCCAAAGCCTACTCAATTTTCATCTTCCCAAAGAATACATTAACATTCACCACAGTACAGGCTTGCCAGTTCTGAAAGGCCTATGAATGTGTGTCATCAGTTTCACTTTGCCACATAAACATTTATCTTCAAAAGCACAGACTTGGCTCTCCTGCATTCACTGACAGTTGTGGGACTGATTTCCTTCGATGGGATGCGCACAGTTTAACCAATACAAACACGTTTGGCAAACTGGCTTCTGCTAGACTCCTGTTCACCCCCCTTGCTGAGTGCTGCTCTGACACCTTCCTGGGTTTTCCTTCCTGCAAGGTGTAGCTTGCAGGGGCTACATCAAAGAGAATCCCCTTAGCCAGATAAAACTGGAAATTTGTCACCTGCTACACAGCACAAAAACACCATTTCCAAATGAACAGTTGTTGCAATCACTGAGCATAAATGTTCATGTAGTTTAACTTCTCTTAAAGAGTCTTCTCATAACATATAATCCAATTTTAATTAATTTATTTTTGCAGTTTTAAGAAATCTACAGGGTGGCTAAGTGAGTTCAGCTTTTTTTTTAGCAGAGAAGGGAATGAACTGCCAGCACTTAAATACCCAGCTTTAATATGCAGACGATAACTGTTTATATCCACCAACAGGGTTCCTAAAATTACTAAAATTTCTGTGTCACTTGAAATAACTAGCAACAAAATAAGCTCACGGCTTTCAGAGATTAAGGCCTAATGCATGAGGAGAAAATGCAAGCCTGGCAGACAGCTCCCAAAAGGGATACATTACCTCTCTGTGCCAAACAGGATTAGTTGTGTTACTGATGATAGTCGACCTTCTTTCCTGGCCATGGTGAGCAAACGTAGGAAATGTACTTTTCTTGCCTGGCTGAATGGACATCTTTAGATAAGGATCAGGGTTGAAGAACATGCCTTTTTTAAGTCCAGCTGCTCTAATATCTATAAAGCAAAACAAGAAGGAAGGAAAAAGGAACTGAGTAAATTAAAGCTAGTTCACAAAGTAGTGTATTCCTAAAATATTACCCAGGAAATCAATTCACCATAGATTACTAAATAAAGCAACTTAAAAGTACTCACACATTAACTTGATCCAGTGTACAGCAGGAAATCAAGTGTTTTCCCAAAAGAATATAAGGAAGAAAGGTATCAACATCCTCATTTACATTTGAGCCTCCACTTATTTGTAAAACAAAAACATAAACTTGTAGCTCACCTACAAATACTTTTCTCAGAAAGGTATCTAAGGTATTTCCACTCAAAGAAAAAAGGAAACCCCAACAGAACCAGCTCAAAATGAATCACACAGTACTTGTTTTGTTTCAGGGTGAGGAGAAGAGATAAAAAACTATATGGGAGGTAATGCAGTGAAAAGACACTTTCCAAAAGTTGAGTCTTTGAGAAATGTAACTTACCAAGTCTGCTCTGGAATATTATGCAATTTTCTCGCAACAGAGCAGATAATCCACCTCACATAAAGGGAGGCCAACTTTTCTGAAAAGGCTTCTTTCTTCCTAGGGAAACCTCAGTACTGCCGCCCTCACAACTCACAACAATAAATAATAATTTCCTCAGGAGCACATTGTCATGACTAAGGACTTCAATGAGAGTGCAATCTTCAGCAACAAGAAAAATAAAGAGGTGCTTTTTAATATAATATTAGATTTTAAACTTAACTGTAAAATATTTCTCTGTTTCTCTGTAGGTTTGCTGAAGCACAAGACTTGTCTTTTTCCATTAAGTACACCAGTATGCTGCATGCAGCAATGCAACAGGCACATACAATTTAGACATGCAGCAGAATTCATTCGCTGCTCTAAAATTAAATGCCATGCCTGTGGATTCGGTAAAAAAAAAAAGAATCCTACCCAGTATTCAGAATTAAGCCACACAGCAGAAACACAATGAAATAGTCATGTGTAAATGAAGAACCCAAAAACATTACAGGACATGTGTCACAAGCCTATCAGTCAACACACCTTTCAAAATTATTTCATGGGACTCCTCAGGCAGAATCACAACTGTCTATTAAACAAAACAGGCTTTCCAGAATTCACAAAGCAATTACTTGTACAGTCCACTCTGTGAGTCTGTACAACCTATCAGCTCTATCTCAGGTAAATGCTGAAAGGTCACTTCAAAAAGCAGTGGATTTTTTCTGCTCTACCTCTACAATCTCTGCACGTTTTATTGTCAGCTCTTCAAGATGCAGAAGCGAATTTCATCTGCCTTTGCTCAAGCTGAATATGCTTCTGTCTCACACAAGATTTCCCTGGAATAAAGTGCTAATCAAAACAAGGGAAGCTGGTAGACTGCACCCCTACAGCTATTTCACTGTAGTGACAGCTTAGCTCTGTTACAAGTGAAAATTTTTTCCCTTTCTAAACCACCATTCAGCTATTGCTTTTTTCACAGTGATGGAGCCAGACTGCATTTTAGTTAGAAGTTATGATTTCCACTCTTCAGTCTGAGAGGAACCGTCCCTTGTGCAAACTGGAAATTTCCCTAAATTTTTCATGGTGGGATATATCCAATCCATTTCTTTCACTCCTGGAGACCCATGATTCTGGATGGATTTCAACAAACAGAAGTTCTAAAAAAATGACATCTTTCAAGCCACTAGAGTGTGCTCCTACAGAGGCTAATGAAGAAAAGTATTCCATCTTTGATGTTGTTTAGAAACAGAAACTTACTCTTTTTTTAAACAATAATCTGTACAACACAGAGAAGTATTGGTTTTTACCTGATAGGGTAAAGCTGACCAACTTCCTGGAGTGCTGAGCTCCAGAAGCACCTTCATCCGTGCCTTCTACTCCCATCTAAAGAGGAGAAAAAAAAAAAGAAATACACCACAGAAGTTTTCATCTGCTTTGTACATGCCTGAGGATGATAACACAATTTTAAGGTACTATGCTAGGGAAGGATCTGACCAAATACTGCCTTGTTACCACAGACAGCCTCAGCCACAGCATTAGTTTACAGCAAAATATCTATTATTTATGTCACAGAGTGCTAATATACCAGTATCCCAAATCTTCCAAACAGAACATGTATAGGCTAACACACATGCAGACAATAATAATCAGAGAAAACCTGTATCTTTTACAGCTTTCCCTTCTGTAAAGTAACAAACAACAGTGTGGATTTGTAATATGCATCAAAGCACTGAGCTGTCCAGTGAGAGCATATGTAACTTTTGTCACTTTCCCCAAATAGATAATTTAGTGTGCAACAAAAAAAAAAGCAAAGAGATCAAAGAGAGACTAAAAAAGCTTTCAGCTCTATTAACAAAAGCTCCTTTTAAACAGAAAAGCGCATCACACATCTAAATATAAATGTGGTCTAAAAGCTTATGCTTTACAGATTTTTGAGGTTTGGTTTCTACTGAAATCCCTCATTAGGTAAAGCACTATTTCAGAATAAAAGTTTCTCATGTATTAATGTCTGTCTTTCAACTAGCAGAAGGATTTGTCTTTCAAGACAGAGGAGATGTGCATCCAGCCGAATAATCTATCACAGAGACATCAATGGAGAGATCTTTGAAGACAAATGGTTCCCTGGGCAGGCACTGCCCTCACTCCCAGCCAGGAAAGGTGACACAGAAAAAGTTTGAGCCAAACACGGAGCTGAGGATTAATACCAGTGATAGAACAGGGTCTGATCTATTGAAAGATGCAAATCAGCTGAATAAAAATGGGCACAACACCCGTGAGTGTAGATGAAGAATGTGAGGCAGCCCTGAGCAGTGGTTTGAAGTCACCAGATGGATAAATGACTCGGGAGCTGCAGTAGCCACAGGGAAGCTGCTTTGCATTCATCAAACATGTAGTCATTCCTTTTTATACTGCTTTAAGCTACTTAATAATATCATTTCAAATACTTCCCACGATGATCAGCAAGCACATTGGAATTTCACTGGAATTAGCAAACGTGTGGATTTCTCCAGACAGAGTGATGAAGAAACAGCCATGATGTTGGGGCCTGACATCCCTGTGGGCCTCAGCGGTCTCATGAGGGGACACACCATGCCAGCAAGCACTGCCACTCGCCAGCCAGTCCATTCCCTTCCCTCACTGTTGGCTTCATGGGCACTTCCCACCCCTCAGGGCAAGACAAGTCTCGCCAGAGAGCTCAGAACTGTCCCTTTTCCACCCAGCATGACATTATTATGCCAGTGATTTTACTTACGGATGCGTAAGTAGTGACAGGTGGTAGCAAAACTATGAAGGCATCAAAAGCAATGGGTTAATTCCAGCTGGATCAGTGTCCCCTTGTCTACAGACAGATACCATGGAAGCAGTGAGGGGTGCATCCCACTGTGATACTAATGCTGTCCAGGCAATGCCACAGGAATGCTGTGTGTTCCAGTTTCCTCCTTTGGGCTCATTTCAGCATACACTGTTTTCCATGTTAAAAATTTTACTCATCAACAAAAAGGCCTTTCCCATTCTATACCTATTTCTCTGCTACAAGTCAGACTCCATTTGAATAATAGAATTTTTATTGCTAACTTCACATTATAGAAAATAGAATTTGCCGACAATTCAGCTATAATAACATGAATGGTGACAGTGTTCCCTAGCACTTCCATGACTTTTCTATACAACCTCTTCCTGTTCCATTATGATCTAAACAGCAGTTTCAATTCTTCTGCCCCAAGTGAAAATTTCATCCCAGCACACACACAGAGCTTTGCAGCACAAAGGCCATGTCATCTAGTGTAATCACAGTGTTTCTGAATGCTCCATCAGGCCTTCCATTTCCCCTGAGCCAAAGTAACACAATAGAATGTTAGCTGCTTATCCAAAAATATGATGGACTGAAATAGCTGGTGTGATACACCACCAGTATGAGAAAATCCAGTAAGCAAGGAATTTATTGCACCATAAAAAAAGGGAAGTGAGCACACCATTACTCTCTTACAACTTCCTCAAACAGCATTTCTCTAAGAAAATAAGAACCAGTACCAAGAGAACCCAGGGATCTCTGCTGCACAGTGCTTAAGCTCAACACCAAAACCATGGAAATGCAGTGAAGTTTTAATGTTTAACAATAGGTTTACTTACACATAACTAACCCAGTATGACATTTTTAGGAAGTATTACCTGAACTGTCATACAATATTCTCATCAAGAAAACTAACAGCTCACTACTTCTGGAAGTCTGCACTGTTCACACAAACAAAAATGATTATATAAAATTACCCCTTCTAGCAGGTGTGTGAATTCTGTACAATACCCAGGACCCTGCATTACCTTTCAAAACAAAGAAATTTAAATACAGCAAAAGCTGGTATAAGCCTTCAAGAATTACTGTGACTCTCAAAGACAGCTCTCCAGGTAGCTTCCAAGTCATTAAATGCACAGTTAGATGACAGAAGTTCAGCTGTCCTTTTGTTCAATTAATCTCAAAACTACTGGTGGATAAGATAATAAGGTCAAGAAAGTTCAAGTGGTCTAATCACTCTGCTTCTCAGTAATGATATAGTGCAGCATGCAGCCTATATAAGGGTTATTTTATTTTATAATGGTTATTTTGAGATTCACTTTTTCCTCTTGCTCAGAGGAAAAAAATCAGACTACCTGTCTTTAGTTTATAAATTGACTAAAGACAGTAGCTGGCAGACTCATTAACTATGACACATTTTCTCCTGTAAAGTATCGAGTCTGTATGCATCTGTGAAACTGTTACTCATATTGAGATCTGACAAAGATCTGAAAATTAAATTATGCTACCACCTAGGTTTGTAATTCTAAGAGAAAATCCCCACATATTTGGTATATTGAGGTACAAAGTCTAGTATAGCACATTTAGTATCAGATAACCATAGCATGCACTTGTATATAATGCACAACATTGAAAAAGCACAAGATCAGAATAAATGCTATGCAGTCTGAGTAATTTCTGCTTTACTGCATCCTCAACACTGCAGTTGTCAGGACACCACCCTGACTGCTGTGATCTTAAATATCTGGCAGCTAACATCAACAAATCAAATGCACTGTGAAACTTGCTGAAGCTTAGTTGAAGAATTAAACTGTTAGATAAATTACTTGCAGCAAAAGCACCATGGTACGAGTTTGGAAGCCTTTTCTGCCGCTGCTTAACACTGCTACGTAAACAACTACAAAAACTCCTCTAAAACTTAAACAAGTCTCATAACACAAATGCAGTAAGACAATACTTCTTGATAATCAGAGAATTACTAAATTTCAATGGTACATGAACACTCAAAGAATTCAGTAATTTTTGCAAAAGCAGAGTTTTGTCCAGTTTAATTCATACTAAAAATTGCTATCTCTGCAACAGTTTCATACTGAATATTAGGAAATATTTAAGACGTCGGAAGAAACAGAGACTCTGGACATGGTTTCGGTTATATAATCAGTGAGAAAAATTTCTATTACGGTGTTAAATTACAGAAAACTGTAAGTAGCAAAAAACTGAATGCAAGCAAAGTCAAATTCATAGCATAAAAGATTCCAGTTAAGCTCAGTGACTTTTTACTGTTATTTTATTATGAGCAATTCAAAACCATGAAAATCACTTTCCAGTTTTTATAGTTTTGTAAGGCAGCACATTTTTTTAAATAATTGTTGTCAATAGTAAAAACAGGAGACATTGATAGGTTGGTCTGACAGTTAATACTGTCATTAGTACTATCATTTTATAAAACCTATCAGTAAATCATCTACAAATATAATGAACAAATAGGCTAAACTCACCATCACAGCAGGGTTTTTCACAGTGATACATGGAGTAGTAGCTCTGAGGGCTCCACTAACACCATGGTAGTATTTAAAACAGATCTTTATTTCAGCTGAAAAGAAAACAAAAACCACATTAAACACTTCATGGCTGACCCTAGGCAAAGGAGACACAGCAAAAGGGTCCAGCATTCAGTGACCTATCTTCAGAAACACTCTAACAGGACATTAAAAATAGAACTGTTGGTTATATCCTTGTTGTGTGTTGGGTCATTCTATTACTTAAGAGACAAAAATTATAACTTACCCGATTCTGCAACTTGTATTTTGTGGGACTTTGGAAGAACGTGACACATATCTGAAGGAAGCTGGAATCACTTTATATATCAGAACACAGGAAAGGTAAATGTTGAACCACGTTTCTGGTCCCACTGATTAAAGTTTTGTTTGCTAAACTGCATTTGTTGCAAACAAAAGAGTATTATGTTTAACTGAAGCCTGACCTCCCCTGTAGCTCCTCTGCATTCTTCCAACCAAGCAGAACAGCTATAATTATGGCTGCCCTTGATCCTGTGGGATTTTCCCTATCTGGAACAATGTCTGTTTTCCTTCTCCATTGGGATAACTCTTCTGTGTAAGGCTGGTGAGGGTTTTACCTCTGGGTACAGAGATGGCCACAGGCAGACAGCAATGGCCAAAGGCAGGCAATTACAGCAGCCAGTCCAGACAGAGGACGTGTATAAAAGTCTTGGCAGTTCAATTCCTCTGCTTGGTTTAACAATATGTCAGTAGTCCTGAAGTACAAAACCCCAGAGTTTGGTATAAGATTTTGAGACGTATATGGCCTGATTGCTTGAGGTTTGAGGTACCCACTTACCCCTACTCAGAAACGCACTCTGCAAGCCTGTTCAGCCAAAAATATTTATTTCTTTTTAAATTTGCTACAATTACATATCAACATTTATTTACTATCTTCCTCCCAGAACAAAGAGGAGACACCTCAGAACAACCCTTCAAAGGAAAGTGTCTGGCTGACAGTGCCTCCAGGGAATCAGGAGGTGGAGAAGCTGCTGAGCCCACATCCTCCTCCTCACAGATGAGTTCACACACACAGACAAAACATGCTCTATTTACCACAAGCTCTACAGAAAAATTCAAAATGCCAACAGGATTTCTAATCACCTACAAAGGTTTATGAGACTTAAAACTCATCAGGCAGAACTATGGGTTAATTTCTTCCTGAACTGAGCAATTCTGCTCACCTACCAACAATGCTTATATCCAGGATACACAAGAATTTCCAGCTCACATAAAATCAGAGGTTCAGCACTTGCAAAATTTGGGAGAATTTATATCACGTACTGGACTCTCCACATTGTAAAATGCACATACTAAGTAACAAGAAGTCAAGGCTGAGCATCTCTTATTCACACTGAAAACATATTATGGCTACATGAGAGCATGGTTAAGACAATGTACTATTCCAACCAAGACTTCCAATTTCCAGCCATATTGCTTACTTTTATTGCATTGCTTACTTTTATTGCAACCTAAGCCTAATTTTTCAGAGAGTTTCTGGAGCTACTGTTTATCCAGTCTGTTGTGACTATCTTCTCTCAATTCATCACTTTCAAACAGAACCTAGCAATAGAAAGGTTACCAACTGCTGGTTCTATCCATGGAAAATCCATAATGTGACGGGGGACAAATACTCTCACTACACTGACAGGTACATTTATCTAAAGGCTGAAATGCAATACTACAAGTTTTGCATCCTCATATTTGTTTCTCTCAATGACTTCTATGAGCATACAGAACTTTCCAATACCTGTATATGGCTGGTGATAGAACAATGCTTGATTCAAGAAACGGATCTGACAATCCCTTTCAGGTACACTAAATTGAAAAAATTACAATCTAACAAACAAAATACCAAACTTCAGGACTTATTGCTAGAAATAATTAGAAAGAGCAGAGTACTTAAAAACATGACAATGAGACTTTTTCTCCCACTTGCCAGCAGAAGAAGCACTGATTCAGTTTGGGCTTTATACAGCACTGCATTCACACGTGCATTTAGAGAAATAGCAGATCAGCTGTTAGCACTGTGTCAGTGGGATTAATACAAGAGAATCTGTGCTTGAAATTCAGCACAGAATTGAAAAATGGGCTACCCACCATATGCACGCAGATGTTGGCAAAATGAGCATGGATTTGCAAGACTGGATCTTATACAGAGCAACAATACAAACACTTCAGAGGGTAAGAGGCACCAAAGTGGTTTTTTTCTTGGCTAATAATGCTAGAAACTGCAGTGAATGTTAACAGAAGAAGAAATCTCAGAGGAACCCTGTAAGTTCAAAGCAGCTGAGGATGTTGCCTTTTGACATGTCTTGTGTGGTGCTATCAGAAAGAAAAATCTTGATAAGGAGAGGTTTTTCTTGATGACTGGTGGATTCCTGACCTCTATATCTATTGGAAACACGTATCTGTGCCTGTTCTTACAGTTACAGGTGGTGTAACACTCAGATGTGTTCTAAGGCCCCATAACCACAAAGACTTCTTCAGCAGCAGTAAATTCAATTATCTGCAAACAGGACTTCAATATTGTGAGAAACGAATTCAATAGCATATTAACACACAGGTTTCTTCTGAACTCTTCCATACTATTCCACACTCCTAATGCACATTAGCATGTGTCACTTATAGCGTTTTCCCAGTTTCTTTCATTTCTCCTGCCACCTTGTTTTTATGTGTTGCCTTCAGGGGGAAACTGGCACTTCTCTTTTTTTCTTTCCTACTTATTCTTCCTCAACAGGTTAATGAGATTGCTTTGTATGGTATCTCTAATGAAAACATTAAGACCAGTAAACCCAGCAAAGGAGGAACATCTGCACCTGACCACAGGACCATTTGCTGTATCATTAAAGAAAATAAGATGTTTCAGAACACAAAAGAATTTTTATTCATGGGAAAAATTAATGTACTTTTGATACTGCACATGTCCTTTTATAATTGACATTCCTGCAGACATACAGCCCACAGTAAATTCCTTCTTTAATTAAAAATAAGCAAAAAATTAAATTGGGGGGGATTTATGACTCATTCAAAGCTATCACATGACCACATAAAAAGTGATATATATGTTAATTAATCAGAAAACTCTGTGAAACCATAATCCCCTTCTTTTAAAGATAATCTCTGTTACTATTTCATAATCATAATCATAATCTTACAGCTCCATTACATAAAAATGGAATCAGTAAAGGTTTATGGGACTCAAACATTGACATTTGAATTTCAAAAGAACACCTGCATGAAATTATAGTGCTACGGACCATATACTTTTGCCTCTTCAATAATAAAGGGATCAGCTTACACTAAATAACAGCTTGGGTTTAAAACATCACTAATTCCCCAAAGTTCCTCACTAACTACTTTTTTACTGCCTTTAATACTTTACCTTTGCTCATCAAAAGAATGCTTTATTAAAGAAAGATACTAAGAATACATAAATATATGAGCATAATCCTTGAAGAATGCATTCTTTCCAGGAGACTGATAATGCAGGAAAACAGGTGTGTTTACTGTAAGAACAGCTTGCTCCAGACAGACCCTAGTCAAACAAAACACCTAGAGAGGTGGAATCATCTCTACTGAAAAGGGATAAGCAGACATATCTCCAAAAAGAAGTCAAATCCAAGCTGGGTTACAGCAGTCTCTAGAGCAAAACAGTGCTCCCAGTTCACTGTATGGAACCTGCACAGCAGCTGAAACTTCTTGGCCACTGCAGCTGAGTGCCCAGAAGGTACTTGGGCTGAATCCATGGCTCTCTGCAGACAGAAACATATGTCCTCCAGCATCCACTGAGGAAAAAGCTGACAGCACAGTAACTCTTTGGAAAAATATGAGAGCATGTTCTGCAAAACTTATTTAAGAAAACTAGAACAAATGAAGTCACTCACATTCACGCTTTACAAAGCTATAAGGGAGATACAATCCATGCGAAAGCAACTGTGTTAAATCCTATTTCTTACCATCGGAACCTGATAGACAGCTGCAGAAATTTATCACTCCTGCCTGTTGAACTTTTCTGTAGCGTGAGAATTCAGTGAACTCAACATTTCTGTTTGGACATTTAGCATTCTCTTCTCTGCATCACTTTCAGTGTGTGCATTTTTGATTACTTCCTACTGGACAGTAGCAAACACAGCAGCAGAATGCAAGGGTCAAAGCTGGCAGCCCTCAGGTACTTGCCATCTCTCTCAGCAGGTGTATCACAGAATTTATTTTACAGGAACATTAGGCAGGCCATCTACAAAGTGACTTACAGAAAGCTTTTCAGCTAAAATAGGATCAATAACAGAAAATGCTTATGTCCCAGTAGCCTTTCCATCTAACCTGCTTCAAAGGGAATGTGGACAAATGTTTGTTCAGGTAACAGAGCATCCCTATCCCTACCAGGCCCGCTCACTTTGCTGTCATCAGAGATTCTTATTCACAGTCATGAGCACTGACTATTATGCTCCAGTTCGGCAAAGTATTTAACTATAATCTAACCTTTAAAACAAAACACTGGGGTATTATGTGCATAAGGAAGTCAAAAAAGCCTGCCTCAAATGTAAAAAATACAAGACTTGATCCTGTTTCAGTTATTTTTGATACTCAAAAATAGCTGTTAAGAGACAACATAAAAAAACAGCAGAAGAATAATAGAAGTATTTCTAACTCAGTGCATGTGTCTATAAATAGAGTAGGGACAATAACCATGAGTCCCCAGACAGACTACTGAAAGGGCACTGGTTGCAGGGCACTGCAGAGATGAATGTTCCAGGCTCAGAACAATTCCATGTGAGAAAACCATGACCTTTACAGAATCTAACTGGTAAAATTTTAAATAGTAAAAATATAAAGACTGGATACAAGTAATGAACTACATTCATAGAACATTCATTAACATTAACCATTATGGTCAAAACCATTACAAAAAATAAACTCTGTTCATACCTCTAGTTACAAGGAGCCCTTAAAAGCTAAAAGTATATGAAGTTCAATTATTAAACTGGTATTTTTTTCCTTCAATATCTATCAGCATTTAACAAAAAAGAAAGCT